GGGGCAAACCAGCTGACGCTGCGAAAGCCTGTTTTACCGTCGGTGGAGACCAACACAACGTCAACCGCGATCCGAGTTATCGCCGACCATATGAACTTACCGCCGCGGTCGAGTGTTTTTGTCCCCGTCATAACCGACGCAGCCATGCACGGTGAAGCTCTTCTGGAAGGCAACGTCCAACTGCTCCTTGTGAAAGGAATTGGCGTCGCACGAGGCGTAACGGATCTCCAAGAAGGACGTACAACTGTTCTTGTAACGAACTTCCGAGAGGAGCCGCAGCACCTAACGAAGGGTACCACTGTGGGCCACATTGAGGAGCTTCAGGCGCCAGTCGTGGTCACCGCAATCTCCATAGAAACCTCGTCGTCACAGCAGAACAGCACGCCGCCGCCGCTCGACATCGACCCCGAGCTCCCAGCTACGAAGCGCCGGCAACTGGTTGATCTCCTTGCCGAATACAGCGACTGTTTTGCCACGACATCGAAGATTCGCCAAACACCAATGGCGAAACATCGCATTGTTACCGACGACGACGCACTTCCTGTCCACCAGTCGCCGTATCGAGTCTCCTTAAAGGAAAGGAAAGTGATTCAAGATCAAGTCCAGGAGATGCTCGACGACGACATCATTCAACCCTCAAGAAGCCCATGGGCGTCCCCAGTCGTCCTTGTAAAGAAGAAGGACGGAACCCTGCGGTTCTGCGTGGACCATCGTCGACTGAACGCTGTGACGAAGAAGGACGTCTATCCGCTCCCCCGCGTCGACGATACGTTAGACCGACTGCGCCACTCCCGATATTTTTCGTCGATGGATCTGAAGAGTGGCTACTGGCAGATTGAAGTCGATGAACGCGACCGGGAGAAAACTGCCTTCGTCACTCCCGACGGACTGTACGAATTCAAAGTGATGCCGTTCGGGCTTTGTACTGCGCCCGCCACCGTCCAGCGTGTCATGGACACCGTGCTGGCAGGTCTGAAATGGCAGAGCTGCCTCGTCTACCTCGACGACGTCGTGGTATTTTCACGAGATTTCGACGAGCACCTGAAACGACTTCGAGCCGTGCTTCAAGCCATCAAGACTGCCGGCCTGTCACTCAAGCCAACAAAGTGTCGATTCGCCTATGGTGAACTTAAGTTCCTTGGCCACGTCGTGAGCAACAAAGGTGTTCTCCCTGACTCTGAGAAGACCCGCGCCGTGGCTGCATTTACGCCGCCGTCTGACAAGAAGGCCGTGAGAAGATTCCTCGGACTTTGTGCCTACTACAGACGATTTGTTCGGGACTTCGCCAAGCTGTCCGCACCTCTGACGCACCTCACGAAGGACGCCGTAAAGTTCGAATGGACAAACGAACACCAGCAATCATTCGATGAGCTGAAACGAAGACTCCAGACGCCCCCGATTCTTGGCCATTTCGACCAGTTCGCTGATACAGAGATCCACACGGACGCCAGTAACACCGGACTTGGCACAGTGCTAGTTCAAAGGCAGGACGGGGCAGAGCGAGTCATCGCATACGCGAGTCGGACGCTGTCTAAGGCGGAGAGGAACTACTCTACAACTGAAAAGGAGTGCCTTGCTGTCGTCTGGGCAATAACAAAGTTTCGCCCATATCTGTATGGAAGTCCTTTTCGCGTGGTCACGGACCACCACTCGCTCTGCTGGCTCGCGAATCTGAAAGACCCCTCCGGACGCCTCGCCCGGTGGAGCCTACGACTGCAGGAGTTCGACATGACCGTTGTGTACAAGTCCGGCCGGAAGCATCATGACGCCGACTGCCTGTCAAGAGCTCCTGTCGAGGCCGGTCCTGCCTGTATCGAAGACGACGACGATGAGTGTTTCCTCGGCGCTTTGGACGTCAGCGACATGGCAGCACTCCAACTAGACGACCCTGAACTGCGAGCGCTCATCGATCACTTAGAGGGACAAGCGAGTTCGGTTCCCCGTGCTTTCTTAAGAATCCTGCATACATTTTCCATGCGGCGAGGGGTGCTGTACAAGGAGAACTTCGTCAACAACAACACAGCATGGCTGTTGGTTGTTCCTGCCAGCCTTCGAGACGAAATATTCCAAGGATGCCATGACGACCCAACGGCTGGACACCTTGGCTACAGCAGGACGCTCGCCAGGATTCGAGAAAAGTACTACTGGCCGAGGCTACCGAAGACCGTTCACCTATACATTCGATCATGCCACGAGTGTCAGCGACGCAAGAAACCGCCAACGAAGCCGTCAGGACTTCTGCATCCGATATCTCCCCCGTCTATGCCGTTCCAGCAGATCGGAATGGATTTACTTGGCCCTTTGCCATCGTCAACGTCGGGAAACCGCTGGATTATCGTCGCCACCGATTATCTCACACGGTACGCCGAGACGAAAGCCCTTCCAGCAGGCACGGCTGTTGAAGTCGCCAAGTTTTTCATTGAGTCCATTGTCCTCCGGCACGGCGCCCCTGAAGTCCTGATCACAGACCGTGGATCTTCGTTCATGGCCCAGCTGACTCAAGAGATCCTTCGTCTCAGTGGCACCGGCCATCGTCGAACCACTGCATACCACCCACAGACCAACGGACTGACCGAGCGACTCAACAAGACAATCGCCGATATGATCTTTATGTACGTCGACGTAGAACACAAGACGTGGGACGAGGTGTTGCCCTACGTCACGTTCGCCTACAATACGGCGGTTCAGGAGACCACTGGATTCACCCCTTTCCAGCTGGTACATGGTCGGAAGGTCACGACCATGCTGGACGCAATGCTGCCCCATGAGCCATCTGTAAATGAGAGCGACGACGCCCAGGCGGTTGCTCAACGCGCCGAAGAAGCCCGCCAGCTCGCTCGACTCATGATTCAAGACCAGCAACGCGTCGACACGGGCCGCTACAACCTTCGTCGCAGGGACGTTCACTTCCAGCCCGGAGACAGGGTGTGGGTGTGGACGCCCATCCGTCGCCGCGGCCTCAGTGAGAAACTGCTGAAACGGTACTTTGGACTATACAAGGTACTTCGTCGCCTCGGCGAGCTGAACTACGAGGTGATTCCTGACGGAACAAGAACATCATCACGCCGCCCACCACGACCTGAAGTCGTCCACGTCGTGCGCCTGAAGCCTTACTACGCTCGATAGGACTGTGGATCTTATGTGTTTCAAATGACTCTTTAGTTTGCCGTTCTCTTTATGTGCTTTGTTTTGTGTTGCATCGAGGCGATGCACTTTTTAAGGGGGGGAGTAATGCCGCGCACCAAGTAGGCACCGCGGCTGTAGCACAACGGTTATCGCGCTTACCTCCCACGCGAAGGGCCAGGGTTCGATTCCTGGCCGCGGCTACGGATTTTTGTTTACACTGTAATGTGATGTCCTAGTGAATTCGAGAACCGTCTAGCTGATTCGAGGTTAGAATGTTCTCCGCGTCGAACCTTCTACATCGAACGCTCCAGAAGCCAACGCGTGTACAAAAGCGGCTCCGCCTGGCAAGCAGGATTCAGTCTCGCCCCAGCGTTCGACTCTGCTGCCACGCCGACTTCGACGCCCGCGACGCTCTATTATTATCTTTCGTACTCTTTTATTTTTGGCACAAGTTCGCCACATTAAACGTTTATTTCTTCCTGTTTGTTATTTTTGGTCACTACCCGTGACAATATAAGCTAACATTGCTGACTGGGAAGTAGTCATTTTTGCTTCATTGTGCCTTGCCGCGATAACAAGTTTGGCTGAAAAACGTTGTAAAAATTGTGTCTTTTCAACGTCATTGATTGTACATCAAAAGATAGCCCGCTCCTTATTTTCACTTCGATTTGCTCTAATTTTAAAGGGGTGCGAAGTTGAAACTTGAAATATCCCTGGAACACTTTGAAATGGATGAAAGGTGATCCATGATATTTGTAAACGATAATGACACGCTTGTATTATCAGCGGATGGCCATATTTTTCGTTCCAACCAACAAATTCTTGCGGGCGCTTCAAAATCAGCCATCGAGGCAGCGCGATGCGTCTTCGGATATTTACCCGTGACGTCACGTGCGCAACGTCACGGGCCCATAAATGACCAAAGGTACTGTAATTACGATCGTTGTCTCTAGGTGGCGCCAGCTTTATTATCAACACGTTACAATCCTGCCAAGTTGGAATATCTGAGGTATGGCGTACTAGAACTGAGAGGTGTGCCAAGTGCCGCTCAATCCCGGGTGCCCCCTCATCAAACACGCCGCTCCATGGCGCTGCCACTGATGGGCCCGTGACATCAGACATTCCAACGAAACTCAGCCCCCAACTACCGGGCGGTATTGGGAAGTCGTTTTTATTAGGTTTAAAACTGCTTTTCTTGCGTTTACGGACAAAAGACTGGTGTTTGAGAGCTACTGTGAGAAAAGGGACCAGGTCTACACAAAGAGATGGGTGCTAAAATTTTTGCTTTCATACCCTTTTAAAGGCCGACGACCACATACGAGATTCTGCAAGGCAGAAGATCCTCCTCACCCTGGGGGAGGAGGAAACAGGCAGCGGTGGACAGCGTAGAAGGGGGGAGAGGAGGGAGCGGGGGAAAAGTGGAAAGCGCGAACTGGTCGTCTGTCTTTAAGGTGGGCTGTCTTGGGATATTGCGGTAGTCCATATTCATGAAATTAAACACATAAAATAAATTTGTATCTGTTTCCTCGGTGTAAGCATGTTTCCACAGGAAGGGGAGTCATTGATTAGCCACGGCAACTTTCGAAGGTTGACTTCCGCTCGAGTATGGCCACTTGTTAGAAGGAAACTGCAAGGAGGGCGAGTGTGCAGCCACTCATTTGGTCGTGGTAACGAGGAATGTAAGGCGTTCCTCGGAGACTCGTAACTAACGTTTCGGGTTCGATTAGCCCGACCCCGTTGCACTCGCCTCGTTTTGCGATGGCCTATTCGGTAGGTTGTCGAGGCATTGCCTCATGCCTGCAATTAGCCGGGTTCGAAGGGGACCCTGTCCGGGTACCGTGGGTCGAATTCAGGAGCCCTCGCGTGCCCTGCAGGCGGGGCAAGCTGTACCGGTATGACACGTCGGGCGAGCCGGCCGAGTGGAAGGAGCGGGGCACCGGGGAGGTGAAGATCCTGCGCAACGAGGAGGGCTGCTGCCGCATCCTCATGCGCAGGGACAAGACCTTCAAGATCTGCGCCAACCACAAGGGTGGGTGCTCTCCCCCAGGATGTGGGGCGGGCTGGGAAAGGCGTCCAAATGTCCCCCCTCTGGCCGCGGCCGGCGGTGACAGTCTTTGTCGGATGCGTCTAGAGCAAGAGGCCTCGATGATACGCCGCGGCGTAAAAGCGCACTTGGCCGGCTAGCCGGAAGCAACATTTGGGCAAAGACTGGGTGGAAGAGAGCGCCGCCAGAGCAGATGAAGAGCTGGGTGGCGCTTGGATCGTGCCTCGATTCGTTTGCGCACCCCATCCTTTGCGGTGCATCCTACGCATGGTCTTGGCCGAGAAGCTGCTTCTAGAAAGACGGCCCCGCAAAATCAACTTTGCAGCCAGCCAACTCTCGGGTGACTGCGATTTTCAAAACTCGGAAATGGCTCCTGTTTTGAACGCGGATTCGCACGCTCCTTTTCAATGCTCTATTTTTTCGCTGAAGGCTCGAACCAAGTAGAGTAAGAAGCATTTCAGGCTCTAATAACCTAGACACACGTAAATGCCTAGCCCGTCCCACTCGAAGAAGTGCAAGGTGCGCCTCTTTGTCTGGAGACCCTAGTGGAGCCCTGGACATAGGGCTGGCTCTTGAATCAGACGCGCAAAACTCGGAAAGTGCCCACAGTTTGCCAGAGTGCCCATGCGTGTGCCGCAGTCACCGAGAGCATGGAGCTGAAGCCCAGCCACGGCAGCGACCGGGCTTGGATCTGGAGCACGCCCGCCGACTTCGCCGACGAGGAGCCCAAGGCGGAGCTGCTGGCGCTGCGCTTCGCCAACACAGAGAGTGAGTGTGCCCCTGCCCTCCAGTCTGCCTTTTGCCGCCTGTCGTCTCGCAAGGGCGTGACGCTTGCGTGTCGTGGGCGGCCGGACGTCGAGACCAAAGTGCGGTGGTGGTGAGCACACCGGTAGAGACTCGTTCCACGCCTTCGGAAAACGTGCCAAGTATGGTCAAACCTCTCTCTCTTCAGGGAGTCGACTCAGGGAAAGGTTGCGATTAAAGGGACACTGCAAGGAAATTCTAGCACCTATTTTATTGTCTAAATGTCAACCACGTTCTAACCACACCACGGAGGCACCCAATTTTTCCCTCAAAAAGACACCACAACGTTATTTAAAAGGAATAAACCTAATGTAGCTATGTCACTCTGAACTTGGAAGCAGTGCCGCTCCGCGGAAGTGTGGCGGCAAACTGCGTGCGCGAGCCCTGTCGAACCTGGTTGAAACCGCATTTCCCTTCTCTCCCGCGCATATTCAACTCCTGTGGGGAGCGGGGAGGGGCAGCTGAAACGGCCAGGTTGTATTTAGGGTGACCACCCGTCCCGCAACTCACGGGACTGTCCCGCATTGAGGGCTTGTGTCCCGCGTTCCGCAAGAAATATCAAAATCTTCAAAATGTCCCGCATTTTTTACTGTCGTAAAATTCACTCAGCAACTCATGGTGCTGCTGAGCAACGGGGCGCGGGGAAGCGCGGAGGTTGCTGGTAATTGTGTGGATCGCAATGGTACGCCATTTTCTATCCAAGCATTGCGGGAAGCGACCGTCGTTTTGGCAGAAGAACCGACGCGTATGCTCCGTTGTGCCTCTCCCCTTGGTGCCAAAATATTGTAAGAATAATTGCTTTATTTAAATATTGGATACTGTTAATATTTTCAAATTGCTGTGTTACTGCGAAAGGGTTGCTCTGGATTTTTGTTTTTAGTGAAGACTGCCACACAAAACAAACAAGCCTGCAACTCACGACGGTCGAAAAAGAACATAATGTTAAAATTTTGTGTTGGACCATGTTGACAAAAGCAAGCGTTGACAGGAAATAATAACCCGAAAAAGATTTACTGTTTCTTATTTTTATTTGATGCATTGAGTTCTGCTGCAGTTGTTTTTTATGCTTTCAACTTCGACAGATCTAGTAACATATTTGCAGTGATGTGATTGCTGCGCCAATTGCGCCAAACTGCGCCAAGGGGCTAACCCTGCTACATCCTGCTACATTTCGCCAAAATATGGGTAATCTGCGCCAAGCCTGCGCCAAAGGACCAGTGTTGGTCGCATTTCAAAACCGAAACTAAACTGAGTATCGTAACTGAGTATGCGTGAGCTAGGTGGCGCAAGCGGCCGCCCGACACAACGTACTCTGCATCAATCGTGACATTTTAACCCTGGAGCCGGGGAAAAGAAGGGACGTAGGACAGGCAAAAAACTCCAATCTCAGTATTGAACCAGCTTGCCTGCACTCTTGCTTTAGTTACATCAATCGCCCATCCGGTCTCGCATGGTTTTTTCCGCCGTCTCTTCTTTCAGGCTCTCGTCGTCTCGTGAATGTCGTCTCGCTTTTTGTTTTATTTATTTATTTATTTTTTATTTTTACAACGATAGATGGCGGGCGTGCGCGGACGCTCCGACGCTAACGTGCTGGGTACCTGCCATGCAATCACACTGACACGAAATTAAGTTTTTGCGCGGCAGGAGTTACTTTTTGAGCTGAAGCACTCGCTTCTGCAAGCAACGGCCGTGGGAAAACTATATTTGGTCCTGCTTGCCAGTCCGCACGTCGCTAGAGAGATGGAGCTTCCTAAACTGAAACATAAGGACCGCCGCATATTCATCAACATTTCTGTTCTTGTTTAAAACATACGCTACTACAAAAAATCCCTAAATAGTTCGAAGACTGCTGTGTTTAAGTATTGATTACTTAGGTTTCTCTTGGTTGGCTTTCTTTCGAGGGGGACCCCGGTTCATGAAAAATCTTTCGCGCAAGAAAGTTTGTGAAGAGAAGTGAGCTAAAGCAAATAATGCAATATCTGCACGCTGAACCCGCACAGCGCAGTTGTTTGTCTCGAGTTCAGTCGTTGCACAAAGCTCGAAGAACGTTTTGACCCTGACTCGCAATGTCCTGCATCGATGCGCTCAGATTCTTTTTTTGTATGTTTAGCTTGTACCTCGCCTGCCGGCCTTGCAAGCACGCGCCGCTGAACTATTCTTTGTCGCATGCTGGGCAGTTACATTTGACATACATTTTTGGAGACCAGTTGGCGACGGAGCGGAGTGGCATGGTTTCGGTTTCGATCGAACAGCCGTCTCTGCTCGCGCGACGAAGCATGTGCAGCTGCAAGCCTGCCGAGTTGCCCTGACGTGCATGCAAACATGATTGCACGACAGAGGCACCCCGGGACGCTTGCAATCCACTGTTTTACGTTTACTTTTGACGAAAGTCTGGCACGTCGGAAATCAATAAAAACGGTGGGAAGCGGTTTTTCAAAATGTTTCGGCAACGCCTAAAGCACTGTACACTTGTGGGGTGTCTCAATGTTTCTTTGAAGACGTTAAAAGTGGACATTCATTACTAGCCTAAGCCAAAGCAAAGCTTGCAGCAGCTTTGCCGAAAGTTTTTGAAAAGCAAAAATACCCACTAGTCGTACAGCACCTTTTTCTTGTGTGCAATCTCGTATTGCGCTGCAGTGGCTATGAGTTTCATCAGTCGGGGACTGCTTCCATTTATTATATTATATCACTACTAAACTTAATGCTGGGATATTTACTACTAAGCTGGTCATTTTGAAATAATTTTTAATATGTGAAATTTAGTTTTCAAATAAATTTGAATATGTGGAGTTTGGTTCTTATCTGTCTATTGTGGGTACATATAAAGGTATCATTTAACTGAAGCATTGCAAAATCTGTCATGTCATTGACATTTCATTTACATCTTGAAAGACTCCTAGGTGGTCGAACTTGACTATAATTCGTTTATTTCAGCGAGCAAAGTGCCCTTCGTTTGTCCAGCACGTTAAACGAATATTTTTTATTTTTCTAAGAATATCTGCTCCGAAAGCCATTTTTGGTGCTCCGAAACACTGCTTTGGCTGCTCCAAAAGCCACTTTTGCTGCTCCAAAACACTGTTTTGGTTGCTCCAAAAGGTGCTCCAAAACGGCTTAGGCCAATCACATCACTGTATTTGGCATAAAAGAAATATCACTGGGAGTGAAAATTATTCGAGCCTAATTGCTGCAATACAATTTGCAGGTGTATAAACAGCACAGGATATTGGATATGTTAACAGAGCCTCGGTTCGTGGTGTGCGCATTCATAAATTTCCTCTAAGACCCCCCCCCCCCCCCGCGTGTCCCGCATTTCGCTAGCAGGAAGGTGGTCACCCTAGTTGTAATGTGTTGATGCCACCAAGTGGCGGAGCTCACAACCACGCCAATGATTTCCTTTATGGCCAAGGCTACATGGAACCCCGCCGTTTCTGTTGCCCGTCCCCGCTTCCCCCGCAAGAGTTGAATAGACGCTGGAAAGAAGGAAAATCCGGTTAGGCCAAGTTGACAGGGCTTGCGCATGCAGCTTGCCACCGTACTTACGCAGAGCGGCGCTGCTTTCAGTTTGGAGTGACATATCTACATTAGGTTTATTTCTTTTCAATAATGTTTTGTTGTCTTTTCGAGCAAAGGTATCTTCCGAGGTGTGGCCAGAATAATTGACATTTAGACAATACAATAAGTGCAAGAATCTTGTTATAGCATCCCTTGACTGTGCCTTCGCGGGAGCTTAGCGAGTTTCAGAACGGCCTTTGCGTCCCTTTGTCAGAGCTCGACTGCCCCGTCTCGTGCAGATGCGCAGAAGTTCAAGGAGAAGTTTGAGGAGGCCAAGCAGGTGGTGCCACGCCAGAAGAAGGACCCCGGTGAGTCCTACGTCTGCACCTTCTCAATGCTGCCATCGCACGCTTTGCCGGCGTTGACCGGGGACGGGTTGGCGCGTTGGGAAGAAGTAATAAGAAAGACCTCCGAGCGTCACCGTAGTGTCGCCTGGAAGTGGGGATGCGCTCTACCAATTTACCCCACGGCTGTGGTGGCAGCCATTGCAGCAGCGTCCATTTCGTCCGCGTGAAATAGATTACTCTTTACCCAGAAAATTGATGATAGTTCCCCCTTTCCGTAATACCCCGTGAGATAGCCCACCCCAAATCGTTAGCAAATCATACTAAGATAAGGCGTGGGTATCTAGCTTTTGGTGTGTCATAAGAAAAAGTTGAAAATATGCTAGTTTTAGATTATGTGACCCTCGAAACTTGTGGTCGCAAGTAAGACGACTGTCCTTCCTTGTCGGCAATGTTCGCTTAACTTCCGCCATGATTAAGTAACACCTTTTTCGCCAAGGTCACCACTGGCCAGGGCCCTGCAATTACTGGAAGCAAGCTATGTTTCAATGGTTCTGAAAAAAAAGCAGCAAATTGTGTTAAAAGTAGGGAGCGGGCTACCTTTCGGGGGTGGAGAATCTCGGGATATTATGGTATGCCTTACGAGGATGCGTGCTCCGTTTTTTAAGAGTCATTCTAGGAGTCGTACATAGTGAGGGTTCTGCCTTTTCCAAGTTTAATTCTTAGTAAAATCAGCGTGTTTTCTGTAGTTCCTTTTTTTTATTTGAACTTTGTGGAGTCTTCTGGAGAGGCTGGTGTAGAGATAGGCAGTCAGCAAATTTATTGACCTACAATTCTAATAGACAGCGCAGGAGCTGAGCCTTCGTAGGTATTAACGTTAAATCCACAGTAAAACTAGCCTCGTGTATGTTTGCATAGGCCAGCCTAATAAAAGGCCCTTTCAATTGTCTCCCACTCCACATTCCTTCCATGCGAAATCAGTAGCTTTTTGAGTGACGTACACATCATGTAATCACAATGGGGTATCCCGCAACTTCCAGTCTATTTGGTGATCAGCAGATCAGCGAATTTGATCTCATAACCCTTCTCCACTTGGCCGAGGTCTGTTTTGAATATAAATTTTGCAAAATCCGACTCTGACCCTGCTCAGATTGTATGCCATCGCACAGATACTTAGTTTCTAGAACGGTGTGCTGGGTCCTCGTACGGGCATTCTTCAGAAAGTAAAATTTGATAGTATTTCTCGTTGATATACTCGTTGATAGAGATTCCTGGTGTTGGAAGACCTCGAGCTTGAGCTGGAAACCGTTGGTGTCCGGGGGTACCGCCACGAGTTTCCCTTTCCTTTCTTAATTCTGTGTTACGGTCACTACGTTCGGCAACTCGCCCTTTGGTGGCGAATGGCTCCAAAGTTGCTCCAAAATGATAACTGGGTCATTCCACGCCAAACCGCACGACGAGGTGGCTCGACCTCCTCCGATCTTCACCGAAAAAATCACAGTGGTAGTCAATTACCCCGTAAGTAATCGGACAAAATATTTCTTCTAAATATTTGTTTGTTTTGCGGCGGCCATTTTTTAAACTTTGAGAAAAGTGCCTTTACTGTAGGACATTTCAACATTTGTGTAATTAAGTCGAAATACGACAAAATTATTATGATATCGGAAGAAGACTCGCAATATAATGCTTCTTATGTACTTTTATTATCATAATAAAATAAAATATTTTTAAATAGTTTTAGGCCTAAGAAAGCTAACACACATCATGCCATATTCATTGAATTGTTAAATCAACTTGAATCCTAGACACTGATTTGAAACTTTTTTCTGAACAACAGCTTCTATTTTGATTTGTTAAAAAATTACTACATCTTAGAAACTATTATTTTTTATTTTAAAAATTTATGAATTACGTCAGTTTTTGTAAATTAGCAATTTTTGGAGTAATAAAAAAGAATGTTACTTCCAGTTTTGAACAAAACATATATATCAAAATATAGCCCCAAGCTTCTATAATGAAATATCAAAAATTTAGAAATGTACTTTTTTTTTAAATTTAAGAAATATTTTTTTCTTTCGGACAATAAGACGTAATCTGGCGTGAAGCTTTTGAGCAGGCTAGTTGCATGGTAGAACAAAAAACGCGCGAACGCATTTCAAGCGGTGAAGACGATAATACTACAGATCATAGCTAGCACCCTTTAAGAGTTATTTTATTGATCTTTAGAACACTAACAGTGATGCGTTACAATAATAAAACCTTTACTGTTCATTTTCAATGGGCGCTCAGTAAAGCAGACGGAGGATCCGATGGGAGCGCCAGCTGGTATGCCGCGATCACATTAATAAGTGAAACGAAACCGAAACTAAACTTGTGAAAATTCCTTAGAATGACATAATTGGTCTTAACAGCCCCAAAGCTAATAGAATATAAAAAAAATGTTCCCAGACTTTATTTAAATTGATGCACGCCACGAGTAACAAAGACTTGCAGGCGGAGGAATTTGTCGACATGATGGTGCTGGTCGACGGAGCCAAAGTTGCGCGTTTATCTCCGTAGTGCCGTCCTTCCTGCACAGCATGCTGATCCTGCTCGTCACGTGACTGAATTCGGCGCTTAGCGGCGCCACGCGTTCGAGGCGTACAGCGCGCTCAAAAGCAGTGGTACGTACGTCGGGGCGCGTGCAACGTCTACTTTAATGCACGGCACTTGATACGGGCCCTCACGTGATCGGATCTCGGCGAATAGCGGCGCGGCGGGTCGTGGAAAGCAGACGCGCAACTCTGGCTCCCGTAGGGAGCCTATACGGGAACTCTAGGGACAAAGAGGAAGAACAGGAGAATACAGTGCGCGACTTGTTGAGAACACAAGTTGCGCACTAAGTTGTCCTGCTGCTCCTCTTTGTCCCCATTTACAAGCGCTATCATATCGACAGATATTTATTATCAACTCGCCCAACAATCAGCACGGACGATTTGTTTAGGTAAAGGGCGAGCTAAGGTGTTAGCAGACAGCTGGAGCTTTTGTAGGTCCACTAAAAATTCAGGCTTATTTATAGCGGTCTTGCCATTAGGAAAAGGAATTCTCTATGTTTGCACTTCTCCCATCTCGTGACCAGTCGGCTACAAAAAACTTATTTATTCCTCAAATAGCCCAAAGGGCTCCGCTCTCTCGCAAGGGTTCCTACCTGGTCTTTTCTTCTTTTTCTTTTTGTAATTGACTTGCTATGCATCGTACAAAGAAGTGAGTCACTTGCTGAAGATCCCGGGAATATTTGTGACACGGTCTCCTTACCCATAGGGTGGAATCAAGGAATCTGAGTTTATTCTAAAAAAAAAAAAAATATATCAATTTCTTTCGACAAAAAGTTTCGAAGATGTACGCACGTATGCAGTATTCTAAGACAACTAAAATAATTTTTATGTGGTCAATAAAGCTTTTTTTAGTTTCATATGATAGGGTGTGTTATTTGAATGTATTAAAATGTCAAAGTATTTAAGGGCTTACTTTATGTCGACTAGTTTATAAATGGAAGAAAAAAAGAAAAGGTTCCAATGTAAGGTTGTGAGGCACTTAGGCTTTGAGCGACGCGCCAGACTCCTTAGGAAAGAGAACACAGGGTTCGAACCCTCGGTTTTGCGCTCAGGAGGCCGTAATTCTTTACCTGATTTTGTTTTTGCATGTACGGCTCAGATTGCAAGTGTTAGGCGTTCAGTCTCTCCATCACTGTAAACCTTTAGTAATAACGTTGAAGTGCGTGGGCCGCTCAATATTCACCGCCAGCCGATCGGTCTCCGCCTCGCCCACTCTCTCGAGAAGTCACACGATCAGGCCAAGTTGGTTAAGCATTTTACTTTAGCTCTCAGGCTGGCCCGGGCGTCCCCAATGTTCCGTAGTGGAATCGTCCGCGGTGGGGTTTTTGAAGCAGGCCCCGGTAGGTTCTGTTGCTCTGGTCTTTTCGTATTGCTCGGCTGCATGCTGTCTTCCGACGCCTTCGATCTTCTGCCGCGCACCGCCTTCTCGCGCCTGCTGCACCGCCTCCGTTGGTCTCGTGTATCTTTTTGAGACTTTGTTTTTCTTTTTTCCACAATTGTCATAAACTTTCTATGTTGTAGGTTACTTCTCGTTTCTTTCTCCTTCAGGTATTTATCAACATTAACACATGCCACGATCTTCAGTGACTCGGGACTTATATTTTGTTGACTAAATATTTTAGTTTGTTTTTCGCTGATGACATCACCCCTGCTTTCACTTCTGCTAGGGAGATCGGGATGAAAGCGTGGAATCCCCTTGTTCCGGGAAGGCCTTTCGCATGTTGGTAGCGGCTTGCGAGCTTCTCTCGTTCAGCGTTGATTTTGTCCTTAGATACCCATATGGGTTTTACACTGCAAAGGCTTCGCACAGCCCATTCGTACAAATCTCGGGGCGTGCAGATCTGGTCATCGAAGGGGCGTTGGAGGCTTGCTTTGGCAGCCAGTCTCTTTAAGGTTCCTCCTACCCCATCACATGGACCTTTTCCGTGTGATGTGGCAAAGAAATGCCACACTGCTTCAAGGCCAAAATCTTCATGGTGGAAGCAAAGATTGCTGAAATTTTTCTTATTCTTGTACTGTGCAGCTGCACCATCTGTGAAGCAATGAATTTTCGTTAGTTTTTTCTGAGTGCATTGGAAAAGCTCAATCACCCTCCTTTGAAACAAATGCACGGCTGCATTATCGTGTGTTAGGTCATCAGAAATTATTGTGAAAGTTTGGTGCTGAATTTCCTTTTCGCCTTGCGCCCGGTAATATACAACGACGGGGTGAATGGTCGCTTGCGTCTCACTCCAGTAGAAGGACTGGGGAGAGTCTTGCACAAGAAAGTTGTTATTTTCAGCAAAATCCATTAGAAAGATGGCTTCATTTTCGAGTATAGTGTCCTTTAACTTCCGTAAAAAACTTGACTGTTCTTTGGCAACGAAGTGATGCGGCTTCAGAGACAACAGCTGACTGGCGAGGTGGTCCACAAACTCTTCAGACGGAAGCTCCACCGTTTCAAGTGTAGCGCGGTTTCCGGAGATCCACCTTTTGAATTTTACGGTGCCGGCGGCTTGCAGTCTACGAAGGTTGTCGCCCAATGATGTTCTAAGTCCTTCCAGACCTGGACAGGAAAGGCATCTGCCAAACATGCAGTCTTCATTCTCTATACTGCATACAGCAGAACGTAGTAGCTCCTTGTAGTTGACGTTTACTCCTGCAGCGTGTAGCAGGAGCTTTATGTTCTGGCGATAGGAGCAGACGCAAACTGTGTGCGTGCCGGGTGCTCCTGCTAACACACATTACCGTGGTCGGGACGAGGCGAAGGTGGAAATTTGCACTGTGCGTCTGGGCATTGGCTTTTCCATTGAAGAAAAGCCTCCTTCAGATTAATTAGCATTAACCGTTTTTGTTTTCTGCAAATGACGTCTTTTTTTCCTGGCATGCAGTAGCTTACTGCGTCGTCCTCATAAAACTTTCTAATGGAGATCTTGATGCTCTCCAGAAGATGCGGTGCGTTTTTGGCGTCCGGTTGAGAAAGTACTCCGCCATTCTTTCGGAGCTCCCTAGCTTTGCGCACCATCCATTTTGTTGCACCAAAAAAATCGGCCACTTGCAACATACTTCATGACGCCGGTGCTAACGTAAAAAAAAACATTTTTTTAGCCCTTGAGGTTTCATTCCTCAATTTTTGTTTCAACTCGCAGAGAAGACCTAGGTAGTCGTCCGCGAGGGTCTCAGCGCAAGTTGTACTTGGGACACGAATGCTTAAGCTTCTGTGCAGCTTTGCAGAAAAAGTGTTTTGCATGCTTTTTAGCTTTTCCCTAGCGTAGCCTTGCCGTTGTTTGTAGGACCTCTTCAGGGTAACTTTGGCTTCCTCTACGGCAGACAATGAAGCATTCAAGGATTCAAAGATCGCATAGGGCTCAGGTGACGTTCCATCTGTAGAAAAGTTCCCCTCGTGTTCACTCAACTGACCTGGTGACAGCTGTGCACTTGCAGCCTAAATGTTCTTGATTTCGTCGTGCACACGTATGTTGCCTTTTACGCATAGGTAGTTTCCAACTATTAGCTTCAAGTAGTGAACTGTGGATGCAACTTTTGAGGTGATCACCTTCGTTCCGCAACAAAGGTTCTTGTGTAGACGAAACGGATCCGCACACCTCTTGGACCGTGGCATCTTGCTAAAATGAGGATAAGTTTTCTTTCACTTCACGGTGCTTCTGAATGATGCGTGTTTTCTTGCTCGCATTTCACTTTACACTGCTTCTGAAAGATGCGTGTTTCCTCGCTCACAATTGTATCAGACGTTAAAAAACTAATGTCGTCTGCTAAAAGTTTAGCTCGCCCTTTCGTAAACAGATTCCTCCGCTTGCAAGTCTTTGTTACTCATGGCGTGCATCAATTTAAATAAAGTCTGGGAACATTTTTCTTTATATTCTATTAGCTTTGGGACTGTTAAGACCAATTATGTAATTCTAAGGAATTTTAACAAGTTTAGTTTCGGTTTCGTTTCACTCATTAATGTGATTGCGGCATACCAGCTGGCGCTCCCATTGGATCCTCCGTCTGCTTTACTGAGCGCCCATTGAAAATGAACAGTAAAGGTTTTATTATTGTAACGCATCACTGTAAGTGTTCTAAAGATCAATAAAATAACTTGTAAAGGGTGCTCGCTACGATCCGTAGTATTATCGTCTTCACCACTTGAAATGCGTTCGCGCGTTTTTTGTTCTACCATGCAACTAGCCTGCTCAAAAGCGTCACGCCAGATTACGTCTTATTGTCCGAAAGAAAAAAATATTTCTTAAATTTAAAAAAAGGTACCTTTCTAAATTTTTGTTATTTCATTATAGAAGCTTGGAGCTATATTTTGATATATATGTTTTGTTCGAGACTGAGGGGTAACATTCTTTTTTATTACTTCAAAAATTGCCAATTTACAAAAACTGACGTAGTTCATATATTTTTAAAATAAAAACTAATAGTTTCTAAGATGTAGTAATTTTTTAGCAAATCAAAATAGAATCTGTTGTTCAGAAAAAAAAAGTTTCAAATCAGTGTCTAGGATTTAAGTTGATTTAATAATTCAATGAATATGGCATGATGTGTGTTAGCTTTCTTAGGCCTAAAACAATTTAAAAATATTTTATTTTATTATGATAATAAAATTACATAAGAAGCATTATATTGTAAGTCTTCTTCCGATATCATAATAATTTTGTTGTATTTCGACTTAATTACACAAATGTTGAAATGTCCTACAGTAAAGGCACTTTTCTCAAAGTTTAAAAAATGGCCGCCACAAAACAAACAAATATTTAGAAGAAATATTTTGTCCGGATACTTATGGGGCAATTGACTACCACTGTGATTTTTTCGGTGAAGATCTGAGGAGGTCGAGCCACCTCGTCGTGCGGTTTGGCGTGGAATGACCCAACTTTTCTTATACAAAGGTGCCCCAAGACAATGTTTTTCTTCCTCCTGCATGCCGTCGCGGTTTCGCTGCATTGCAGCATGTGAGCAATCTGCGTCGTAGCTGCCATTTACACCCTTGGTGCATTTTTTGGGTTTTATTGGTTGCTTTATTTTGTGGGTATATCAGTGGTCTGAGCAACTGGAGTCACGTGAAACGAAGTATCTTTCCAGACCAGTTTTGTTTGCGGACAGCCACGAGCCCATTGGGCCGCTCGGGTCTGAGGATTGCGCCAATCTTCGTCAAGGTCCAATTGAGATTCGGACAGAGTTCGTGGAACGTGACTTCCCTCTTTCGTCCGAGTCAATATGCGTCGTCACACCAAGAAAAAATTAAGTTTTGCACATTACTCGTGCGCTGCGTGGAGTAGTTCTTTGAAGGCTTGGCCGTCAAAGGAAAAACAAATGGTTTTGGCACTTCGTGCATGTCTCGATAAAATGACATAAGGCTAATCTAAGACGCACCTACATATATCTTAATTCACTGCACAAAGGGAAAAATAATGACGTTCTGCGAGGAGCCGGATCTTTTTTTACTACGGTTCTCGAGGAGAATACGAGTGTAGATCTGCAGTTAGACGAGCGCGTTACGATTAGGCCGTAACTTCCCGCTTGTGGTGCCGAAATCTAAACGAGATTGATAGAGGCACACGGAAACGCCCACCGTGCGTGGGTGCAGCATTGCACAACGACTCGCGTTCAATTTTGCGCTCTCAACCTTTATGACCGAAAGGTTTTTATGTTTAACTTGGCCCCAGTCACGCCAAACTCATTATAAAGCCTTTTACTGTAACGTCCATCACCACCCTAGTGCCACAATCGTGCAGAGTTTTGACTTACTGCAATGCTTAGTTTATTTATTTGGGTCAAAAGACTGTCTCCCTTTCTTGGTCGGACCTCGCCACGACGCGCACCGCCCGGTCGGGAAGTGCGGCAGACGGCTGGGGCGGTGCGCGGAAAAGCGCCGAGGTGACGAGCGAGACCCGTGTTGCAGAGGCGGATGCAGCGGCGGACAAGCTGGAGTCTCTGTCCATCGAGCCCCGGGACGAAGGGAGCAAGGAGTGAGCCCCGTCAGGGGAAGTGCCGGGACCACGCAGCCACGGCCCACCGGGAGATTGAGCGGGAGACTGCCGGCCGGGCCCTGGGGGCTGCCTCCCCCCCTTTTGTACATAGCCTCGCATGTGTTTGTATAGGCCGGCCTAATAAAGGGCCCCTCCAATTGTCTCTTGCGCTCCACGTTCCTCCTGCGCAAAATCGGTCTAAACCGAACAAACCTTTTTAATGCTGTGCGGGTTGCCAGCCACGATAGCCGGATGTGTTTTAGAGTTTGTTTCCAATCCTAGAGCATCACTTACTGTAAGGAAAGTACGATAATGCTGCCCTTGTCTTTATGAAAGGATGTGTCCATCGGTAAGAATTGAACTGCTCGCACCTCACTCGGTAATCAGACGCCTTACCCGCCGCACTAGCTGAGCGGCTTTGGTTATCAGGGTTACAGCTTTGGTTATCAGGCTTTGAGCAACGCGTTGCTCAAAACTTTGTTGCCATAATGGTGGGAGGAATCACACAATGATGGGACCACCATAAGTTACGTGATCATGTAATCACAATCGGGTATGTAATCGTGTAATTACGATAAGCTGCATGATCACGTTATCACTATTTGTGACTAGCTAGTTGCTGGCTCTCTCGCGGTGGAAACAAGATGCACTCTAGTCAGGGTCTGCCGATTTTCCTGCTCTGCAGGCACGGCGAAACTGCTCACAATTATGGTTCGCGAACAGCGAACCTTTCACACTTTGATGTAGTGCTACAGCCGGGATGGGATTATACCTTACTAGAGAGTTTTAGTATTGCGCAGAGAGGGAAGCGCTGTGCATTTGCGTTAAGAGTTGCGTGCTCTGTGCTGATCATGCATGTTGTCGTCGTGCACCAATCCAAAACTGAAATATTGGGCTCTGCGCACGCGCAGTGTGGAACACGGGGCACTCGGTGTTTGCGTTCGCTTGTATGCGCAATACTAAAACTCAACACTGTTTCACCGGTCTTTCAGCACCCACGAATCGCGCTGCAATGAGCAGACATGCAAGCGGGTAGGCGTTCCTGAGAACTGAAAAGGCCGAGATTGGCAAAACGACCGAACGTGAAAATCGCCGAAAATTAAAGCTTCTGGGAAGTTTTGTAATAAAAAAATCACAACGGAATGCATTTTTTGTATTTCGGGGTTTTTGGAGCAGAAGGATAGGCGACGAATTTGAAAGTTTTGCCGATTGTCAAAAGTCGAGACTTTGATAGCACCATACGCTTTGCCAACAATTAATGCCATTTTACGTGGATTTCTCAGACTAACTGAAATGATTTTATTCATTTTTTGGCTATTTTATTTTAAAACCTGTTAATTAAACATGCTGTAATTTTCACCAGTTATGATAATCTGCCGACCATGGATTGCCATAGTTGCACCTTTCAAATTAGATCATTAGCAACAAATTGGAGCTTGAAAAACTATGTATTAAAGTATCTTAATTTTATTATTATTAATGCAAATTGCGGTAATGCGGGCCCCAATAATGCCACAATCACAAGAATATGCCATTTATCCATAATTGTCTTCACAGAAAGGTCTAAATTTGTTTTCTCTAGCATATTAAAAACTCTTGCATTGTTATCAAGACAGACATAAACCCTGGATGTAATATAATGTCCAATGCATCACGCATTGTCTTGAAAGAATACCGTATTTACTCACATAATGAACACACTTTTTTTCCCCGAAAAATTGACAGATACGTCTAAGCTCGTTATAACAGACCTTGATTTTGATGAAGATTTCGGGCTGTTGTAAGAGGAGTATGTTGTATGCAGATATGAAGTTGAGTCAGGTAGTAGAGGAAAACGAACCAAACTTCACAAATCGGTATGCTATATCCAAGTGTGTTGTAACTGGGTCTGTTGTAATGAGCTTGGACTGTATTTTGGGGGCGTTTATTACACGGGGTAAAATTTTTGCATTTACACACTTTGTGCAAATGTCATATTAGGTGCCAAATACGACACGGCAAGGTACTGTGGCTCGTCTCCAGTGATGGAGGCGCAGCCACGGCTGGTCGGGGGTGCGCCACAATAACCATGCTTTATAAATTGGAAACCCCTTTAGGGCGCTTTTGGGGTGCCTTTTGCCGAAGGGAAAGCTCCCTACGAAGCTTACTCGGCACGAAAAGCAACATGACCGACCATTCTTAGGCGATATATATTGCTGGTGTTCGGCGGGCACTCTCGGGTATAATTTGTCACTACTCGTATAAAAACTCGTACAAAGTTCAACCCCCCCCCCCCCCCCCACTGGCACCGACGAAGCCTGCTCGCTCGCATGAATTAAGTTTCGTTCACGGAGAGGCTACCAGACACTCGGCCTACAGCGCACGGCACAGTGTGCACCTTGCTGTGCCGTCCTGTTGCGGATTAATGCCTTCTGTAATGCCTTCGGGCCCTGAGAGAACAATAAATGAAATGAAATGAAAATATTTACTCGGAGTAGGTGAAATTAGGCCTAACCACTTTCACGATTTCACTGTCCGAAAGCGGACCACAGACGACTGCTTGTTTGTTGACATCAATTCATCCGATGGGCGAAGAATGTCCGGGGCTCCACAATTCCTCGACCCAAGCTTCGTCAAGTGAGCGTGACACTCGGTTTCACGGTTGGTCACCTCCGTAACTACCGCAACTACGCACTTGCGGCCATTACGTGAGCAGCCTGGCTTGGTTTGACTTGGCTTGACTCTTTGGCGGCTAAAGAAAACTGGCTTGGTGGCTTACTACATTGTACGAAATTCGAGACTCGCGGATCCGAAAATTGGAGGTACGTAGATTATGGGAGGGAAAAAAAGGTAAAAATATTGATGCCTGTTGTGTTTATTATGCGAGTAAATACGGTGCACACACTTCTGTCGTCCGACTCTGATTCCATTTTTGACTTTTTGTAGTGAGAGCAGCGTTACTTAATTTATATGTTTTGTGAACATTTTCTAAACTCATCACCCGTAGCGATATATTGTAAAATTTGGATTGTGTGTTGTTCTTGTGCTGAGAATACACCTTTACAAAAAACGCTCTTAGGCCGCCACCATGTTGCTGATGCTGATGCGGCTGGTGCGACTCTCGCCTTCTATCAGCTAGGGATATTCTGCTATCTCTATTGAACTGTGAAAACATGCTCAGCGTGATTCTCCACCTATGTTTTGCAGTTCGGCATTCAACGTTTTCCAGCCCCTCTTAAAAGTTTCCACTTAATTTTTCTGATACACGCTGCGTATCCTTTCTGTGTTATCTTTCACTGTGAGAAATAGGGCTGGTAAGTGCCTGCCATTTAAGCATTTCTGCTTGACATTCACTGGAAACGGGGGAAGGACGTCGATTGGCCCTTGACGTGATTTTGCGAACAATGACAACTGTTCTCAGTCAGTCAGAAATCGTTCCGGTTGGAGTCAGTCGCGCCCATTCCTTTGCCTCGATGCTGGTGTGAAAAAGGAAGCTTTCCCCAAAACGTGGCCCAAAACGAAGTCGTCTTGGATTCCGTCCGATCGTCAAGATGCGACTGTCTTTGTCTGTGACTTATTTGAGATCTTTCTCAAATCAATTATTTTCAGATAACGCTGCATTGTATGATACATACAATATATTGTTTGAATGTTAAAACTTGCTAAATTGTATGTCCGTGTCCTGTCCATCCATAAACACATTTTTAGTGAGCGTGAAAAATGCATGCCTTTGGGCTATCTTCTATTGTGAACTATTTTCGAACGCTAAGCGCTTCGTCATTCGACACGCAGCTAATTGGGTGGCGCCATCAAAGCTTATCGTAAAAAAAAGGACAAGTAACATTCCAGTCACATTCGTTCTGTGGCAGTTTACCCAACAAAAATAGTTTCTTTTTTTTTTTTTGCTTTTTCAAATGTAGTACAATGCATTCTCAATGTCCTCAGAAAAATACATACACCATGAAACAAAAAATATAGCAGGAAAAGACTAGGTTTAGCCGCCAGCAGTGTTTGAAACTGCACCTACGGAAATAAGTCCACTCAGTTAGGATTAGCAGGGACACCAGTGAGAGTCTAGGCTCAAACCCAGTGATGGCTCGAAAACTGTTTGTTGCCTCTGGGGTCGAGCGTTTCTTGGAAATGTGCATAATGCTAAAGCAATTGTTCATCTAAATGCCCAAAAAACCCATTAAAGGGCCCGCAGTTCATTATTTCACATGACAATTATCTGAGCGAGAAAAGGCAACAAGAACAAATAAAAACTTCGATTCTTTAAAGGAGCAATGCAACAATTTTTGTACTTTGCGCAAATACCGCTTAAAACAAATCCCTAACGTTGATGACCTATGAAACACGCGTTCGTTTTTCACCCCACGCAATAGAAGTCCCAGAAAAAAATTTAAGAAAAACGAGCAGCGTTCACCTCCTCAACTCGCAGCCAGAACAAGCGGCCATGTGATCTGGAGCCGATTATATGCCGCCAGTGTTGATCATAGCCATGCGCTGGGGTTGGCAAAGCGCAGGACACGCGCCGAGTTCCAGACATTGCTATGGCTCGGCTGTTGTCGTCGTTGCAGCAATTGGACACGGGTCACAACCCGAATGCTTCTCGAGCTAGCAATTGTCACGAACCCAAGTTGAGTGCCCACGCAATGCTCGGATCCAATCTATGAACCGCATTCAAATATCGTCACTTGGGTGTACTGCGATCCCCACGTTACGTCATCAAATTTTGCAAAGAAGAGATTGAATGAAAATGATCGCTTTTGTCCTTGAAATTAGACCGCAACAAAGGAGTTTCTTGGCCAATGGTGTTGCGTGCGAGTATCCTTGAGTCTCAGGTGTGAGAGTAAGCTCGTGTAGAGAGAAAAACATTCCAATTGAATATCGTTGCACAGCTCCTTTAAACAAATATTTTATGTTATCTCTAAGGTAGTTGAAAGACCCCGTCTAAAGGGACACTGAGCTCTCAAAAATATTTTGAAATGCCCGGATCGAACATGTATGCCACGAAATGAAGTTTCAGCGAACAATTTCTTTGTATCAAGAATTATGCTGCAAGGTACCATCTTGATTTAGGAGAAAAACCGAAATTAACACTTATATCGGGAAATTAAGTCAAAATAGAAATTGGTTTTGTTCCAGTCACACAAAAATCGCCATGGAGCATCATCGCTCTAAAGGCATTCCTCACCAATATAAATGTCTGGCACTGTGTAAGCAATCAATTTATCAATGGTGCCCATCGTCACAGATCTCTTATAATGACGTTGTTCTTACATATTTCGAGACATTTTTCAGTGCCTCCAAGCATGGACGCCACACGTGGCTGTGGTACGAAGATGTACGCTTGTTTCGCCAAACTATGGGTAGCAAAATTGTGGTATACAAGAAACATCCCTATAAAGCTACCCATCGCCAGCAAATTTATGTTGACTCGCCAGGAGTGGAGAGGTCGAGGAGAGACTGCTCAATTTATGAACCAAAATGGCAACCATTTGGCTTGGCACCACTTTGCCAGGATCAGGTTACTTTAGTCAAGCTATACTCGGCCATTAATGTCTGCAGCCAAGGCATGCAAGCCTAGCTTAGCAGAAGGCTTTTTTTTTTTTTGCCAAGTACTCGTGCATAGCAGGCACTTTCCAAAGCCACACTGCATTCATGCCTTCTGCACTGCAGGTGTTTGAGAGACGGAATAAATACTCATCCCAAACGGTTTGGGGCTAGCTCCACGTTGATGAGCCAGGCACGTCCAAAAGGGTTAGAGGCTCACCCATGTTTCGTAGGCGCATATGTTGGCACCTGCTTTGTAAATCATCAGTGGCTGCTCTAAACCAATATTTTGTACGCTATAAAAAGTCAAATGCCACTCTCCATCACTGAGAGTTATTTTGCAGAGGCCAGAACTACAACTTCTCAATCTGCTAGATATAGGTGCTACAACAACTAGGGTGCCTCAATGACCTTCTGTTTAGAGTGATGCCACCCTTTGTAGTACCCAATGCCGACGGCACGCACTCACGGGGAAAATACAAAGAAATTGACGAAAACAAAATGTCGCCATAGCACAGTCAGCGCCACAAACGTGTGCAGGGACACACTCTTTCACGCGCTTCTGAACAAAAAATTAATGTAAAAGTGGGAACAAAATGGCCAGATGTCTCCACCCTAAGCAAAGCGCACATGAAGGCACCCTAACAACAACAGCATTCACAGAAGTTTACAACACGAAATACAGTTCAGAGCATTGCTTGGGTCCCTCTGAAAAGCCACCTGCACAAGGTTTTTTCTCTTTATGGCGACAGCTGTTTTACTATAAATGGTAGGCAGCTGGCCATGCCAGCTGTTGTTCAGAACCCAGCGCTTTTTGGAAAAACTGAAAGACGGGTTGATGCAAACAGCCTTTATTTGTCAATAGATGCCAGTAAAAAAAGGACCCCACTTCAAAATGAACAAAATCAACTGTCGGAGAACAATGAGACTAGGCACACTCAAAGAAATGATGCGTGAAATACAATTGATCCTCCCGCCTTGTTCAAATGCCACTGTAAACCGCTCGCTGGAACTCGAGAACCCCCCTTCCCCCCCTCCCAAAGCAGAAAACCAAAAGGGCCCCTCATAACTCGTCCCTGACAAAAGAGCTGATGATGTTAAGGCGCCCCTGGAGCTCCTCCTTCTTGGTGCTGGTGATCTTTCCGTTTCGGATGTTTTTCACCCGCTCCGCCTCGCTCTTTACAAAGGCCTTGCCACGTTCCAGCACCTTCTGCATCATCTTGACGTAGACATCTGCAGACTTCTTGTCTGCCTCCTTCTCCAGGGAGCCCTGGAGCTTCTTGGCTTCTGCCAGAAGGGCCTCCTGGCTGCTTGCACCTTCCGCCGCCATGAACTGGCTCGCAAGCTGGTCAAACTCCGACAGGCAGTGCTTCAGCTGCAGCTTGATGCCTGCAACAAGCCATTGCGCAAACACTCACTGCCAGCCCACCCAACAACGAACAGCCAGAGTTCTGCACGCGCGTGAGTGTAAAGAGAAAGGTCGTGAACTCCTGGTGTTTTACGACTCCGGAGAGTATGAACACGCGAGTGCAAAGAGAATCGACCGCTCTGCCGCTTTCGGTAAAAACGCGAGGGATTCACATGCGTCAACGGGAAGGATCTCAACATGTGTTGAGTATGATCAAGGCACTTTGTTTCTCAAGCAAGTGTCTGTGCAGTTCGCTTTTGCCCGGCGTGCCATATCGGCAGGCAACGCCGAATTGAACGCAAGTTTCTTGCATCAAATCGGCATCAAAAGGAACCTTCGTACATCAGCACACGTTTCTCTGCATCGGAATAATGTCGAAGCATTTCGTAGCCGTAAGCAGACTGCAAGGAAAAACTACTAGGGTTGCCTCAAGGCGAGGCGTATCGCCTTGAACTGCCAGCTAACGGTAATGGACTGAACTTTGGAAGAGGTTAGGCCTAGCGCGCTGGTGCGGCATGCTAAACCCAATAATGTCAAACAAAAAGAAATTTACGCAGACGGTTGCGTCGACACATTTCTTATTGATGTGTACGAGCCCTCAATAGGCTCCTGGCACCAACATCACATCGCATACTTTTGAACACCATGTAAGAGGAGGAGGAGAGAAGCTGCTTTTGTAAGAATTTTGATTGACAGGTTAATCGTCTATAATCTGGGAGGAGAATAGCGACGCCTGTTCAATTCCGGGAGGCACAAAGGAGGATCCTGATAAGAGGAGAGCTCCTCCTTTGCTCTGGAGGTCATCGGAAATGACGTCATGTGCAAGCCATGTATTGGAATCGTGGAAAACCGCTAAATTGCAGGTGCAGAGCAAGAATGATTTTAACACAATTTACTGCTACAATTTATTTAAAAATGGTAGAATAAATTCAAGAACTACTATAAGGAGGGCTATATTGTTTGGCTCGGATCACTTCATGCACAGAATGATGTTTGTTACCTTTTGGCATGCACCTCCATTCCGATCTTTAGTCAAATATTTGGTGGCGGTTCAACTCTTCAGAGGCCAAATTCACATGCTTTGCCCAAATTTCTATTCTCCAATCTAGGCATCTTGATCATCCATTGTCGCTTACAACTTCCAGTAACCAGTCCCAAAGTTTAGAACCCTATGAAGAGCAGAAGTTAGCTTCTTGAGCAGGGGTTGCAGAGACGTCAGAATGCCGAGCTGTAATTGGCTCCGAGAAGCAAACAAACTTGCACTCTGCATAGCCCCATGTTTTCTTTGTTCTTCTGAATACTTCACTGAGCCTACTTCTGGCACATATCTATATGTCGTCTCAAGCGTAATGAACCCATCTCCACTTTTGCACGGCACCATCCCGCACGACCAACATTGCTGCTGCTTGGTTCTCGTAGGCAGCACAGAAACAAACATTGTGTCCAGTAATTATTTTTTATGCTTCCGCAGTGTCATTCCTACACATGGACTCTAAGGTTTCTACAGTCAAAAAATCGCTTTGCTTTCATATGCAAAAGATTTTACGCTGCAGTTCAAGAGATTTATGGCGGTCTGCGTGCTGAACAACAAAAGCGAACTCCTTTTGTCTGCCATTTTGCCTGACCAATGCGCGCCTCTTATAGTTTGCTGGAGTCGCAAATGCTCATTTTCACCTCAAGAACCCTAGTAAAAGCTTTCAGCCTTTCCACTTAGGTGAAGCGGGAAGGGCAGCGAAGTTGTAGCTTCTGTTCTTGGCGGTGGCTTTCCAGGCGAGCGATCTGCTCTTTCGCAAGGGAATCTGAAGCGATCGACGCAGTGGAACTTTAGGCGACAGTGGCCTCACGGCGGTTGTAGAACCATTGGTGCAGCTGCGCACATCGCCGCTCTTCTCCCTCCAAAGAAATGTTGCCACTATTTTTGAGCGACAGCGGCAAGCAGACAACCGGAAAACACAACACTCTGGCCAGCTACCACCATCTACGAGCAACGGCGGCAATGAGAGTGTTGTGTCGACCACAGGTGTCGACATTTGTTTGGTACCCGACACGATCCTGGGGAAACTAGCCCTCAACAGCTCTGCTGTAAGAAAAGGTCAGGCTGCTCGCGAAACATTACTAATTTCCCCCTTCATGTAGAGAATTAACATATATGTAGGTGATATTTAAATGAGATATGTTATCAAGAAGCGATGCAAAAGTATCACTTCTTCCTCAAACAACCAAATCGTAACTACTCTGCACGGCATATGAACAAAGCGCAAAACTTATTTTTCTTGAGGTGAAAACAAGGGTATGAGGAAAAACGAGACCTCCGTCTCAATTCTAGCCTCGGCTGTTTTTGCAGGGAGCCTATTTGAGAAGCTCTATGGTAACAGGATAGCATGTGTGGCTTTGTGGCACTTGCATTCATGATGGCCACCTTAGTACTGTGGACCTTCATAGTTATTGGTACATGGTAGGCCAACAATGAAGCTCGACAATCTCGTCAGTTATGGGAAAACCTGCAGAAAGTAGAATTTAGCAACCCTAGCAGACGCCCAGCATATGAATACTCTAGATTCATTAACTCGGACCTTTTTTAACAGTTTCTGGGCCGACGCCTTCGCTCTCAAGATGAATCGGGAACTAGAAATGCGGACGGAGGACTGCAAGGGACACCAACTGTGGTCCCGCTTGTCAGAGTAAGTTGTCATTTGCGTAAGAACAAGATCCTTAGTTTCTGACAATAGAAGTAAGCTCGCACCCCGTGCGCCGGAATGCACGACACGCGAGGATCCGTTTGCAATAAGCCGGGCCAGAGGCGCGTACCGGAGTGCTTCTTGACGAAGGCCTTGATGTCGTCGGCCTTGAACTCCCCCTCGTAGAGGACCGGCTCGTCCTGGCCGGACAGGAAGAGCTTGAGCACGGGGAACTGCTCCTTCTTGACGCCGTACCGCTCGGCTAGGTCCATGTTCTCCTTGTCTCCATAGTCTGTGAAGCCAGCGAACCAGTCAGTGCCGCCGAGTCGGGCATCAGGGCCCGAAGCCAGAAAAGAAACCCACCCTGAACGCCCACTTCAGCCACCAAAAAGTCGGGGGTGTTCTGGGACTCCTCAGCCACCTTGACGAACTCGTCGTGCTTTTCTCCGTAAGGGTACGTCACGTCGAACTTTACCAGCGTCACTTTGAACTTCGGAACGATCTAGAAAGGGCAGAAACAGACAGGAGCGTTAGCGCACATTTATCGCCCCGAACGGCTACGTTTTTCTGTCCTTCACGGCAAAAAGATAACGGAGGTGCGCTCTACGAACATGGCCCTTTAACCGAGAGTCAGGCACGCGAACTTGGAGAGGATCTATCCGCGGAACGAGGCAAGGCACGTTCCGGAGCGTCGGCGGACCGTGTCTGATTTTACCTTGTCGAATGTGGATGTTTGTAGCGGTACGCTGCCCTTTGTGGTGCTCGCGACGGTACCGCTTGCCAGCACGGCGAAAAGCCCGAGGAACAGCGTCAGCGAGCGCATCTTTGACACCGGTACGTAGCGTGAGACCGCTTTGAGATCGTAGAACCACCGTAGAACGAAAAGTGATCGAGTGATCTGCAGAAACAAACTACCCGTGCCGCTTGGGCGTCAGCGATTGGCCCAAATCTACAAACGTCGCGTGTTTTCATTGGACCGAGTTGCATAAGGTCACGTGCTGTTTGATGACACTAATCATGCGGTTTTTCTCGTTTCACAAATATTGGATGCGGGCAGAATTTTTAAAATTTTTCAGACGATAGTAAAGTGTTTTTCAATGCTATTTTGTGTGGGTTTTGTCTGAGTTAAAATGAGGTAATGCTCGTAATGGGTTGTTGGGGTTGTTGTAAGCTCCGTTTCTTTGTTTGTTTCGTTTTTGAAGGATGCAAAGGTGTGCGTTTGTGAAACAACAGAAATTGTCCAAGACGATTAGATTTGCACGATTTGCACAGATTCCAAGCCGAGGAAGAGTTTACGTTAAACTAGTAAAAACGAATTCCAAAGTAAAACCAAATAATAAGAGACCAATAACAGTTCTGTTCTGAAATGTTTCCAGTTTCAGCCAATCACAAGAGAGCTTTTATTTGTGCGTATTCAAGATGGCAGCATGTTCTGAGCAAGAGATAGACGGGAAACTATCGACGGATTTCTGTTCAAATTTTCCCGTATCTCCAGTGCCGATTCAAAACAGCGAACTGTTCATTAAAAAATCAAGGACCAGCGAACGGATCCTATTGGAGAAAGTCTCCAACAACGAGGTAAAGTGGCACAATCATTCTTTATTTGGTGGGTGTGTTAGGAGAAATCTTTAATTCAGGCTGCACGGTAGGCTTATGAGTTTTTAGGCTTACATTGGGAATTTATGCTCAATTTCGGAGCAGACTCTGCAATCTTGACCTCGGGCAGACCCGAGACATCCACCTCCGTCAGTCCGCGTCCAGCTCTCGCCCACGGACGGCGCGCTGGACCCGCAGCGCGGCGACCAGGGTCCCGTTTTCGCCCGAGTCACGATATATTGCACCTCCCGTAATTCAGCTGGCAAAAGCGATTTGTTCGGAAGCAGCGGATAGTCTCGGAGGGACGTTTCATTCCGACCGGCTTTCCTTATCGGTCCCGGGGTGACATTGGAGGCGTCTTCCGAGTGTCGCCCTCCGAGCTGCCCGCTCCGCCCGCCCCAGAGGCCCGAGTTGGGCTCCGGCCTGTCTCGCGGCCGCCTGTTGTGACCCGCTTGTCGCAGCCGCACCACGTGCCCGCGGCTGGCTGTCGAGAACGCCGGTAAGGGCCTCTTTCGGGGGCCCGTGTTCGGCGACGCGCCTGCCTCGTGCCCGAGAAGCCGATGGGAAAGTGTGTCTGCTCCCACGCGTGAAGGCCGAGCCACCGAATACACCCCAAATACCAAACCTGCCACCTGACACGACGTGAAGCTTCGTAGGGCGAGGTTACACATACCTCGGGCCGTCTTGGGGTGCATCCTTTCTGTATGCCTAGAAAGGTCATAGTCGTTCGGGCCGACGTCGACGATAGGGTCGCAACAAAGCCTTAGATAACTTGATGAGCACAAGAGAAACCTTGAAAAGATGGTGTTTGATATTCCCGCACGGAAGCTCGTAACGCTCGTCGACACGAGTGAAAGCGACCAGTCGACGGGTTTTGGTTTCTTAGTGTGCACAGTGGAATATTAAGGGACATTTTGCTTGCCATTGGCCGCAATGTATGCATAGTGCTGACATTGGCTAGGCGTCGCTCGGCGTATGGCAAATGTGCAGAACACCAGATCCAGCCAAATGCCAATAGTCGCCCTCGCCTTCTTGGTCCTCCTAAATCTTGACTGACCAATTTGAATGGCTATGGAAAGTGTCTCGACCTCGAGCCCACTTGGTGGCCAGGAGGTGTCTGTGCATTGGCACGGATTACCCGAACAACGGGGTACCTCGAAGGCGTTCGCACTCTCTGCGTCTGGATCATCTGTTACTGGTTGGCCAAAGAGAACAATGTTTCATGATTTCGTATCGACTGAACAATCCTCCTTTCTCGAGATGAGTGTCTCCGAGGTCCTGAAATGAAAGGACACGTTTGCGTCATGTGAACTCTGGAGTGACCGTGAGAGGCTTTTCAAGCGAGAGGCCAATGCTCGTGGTGTGCACATCCTCTGCCCAAATACCTTGAACTTGCAAACTGGAGATTGCCGAGAACAGTGCTTGGCAGGATGGCTGGTGGCACCGCCGGACCGTGGGTTTGGCTCGTGTGCTTAGAGTAAGGGGGGGGGGGAAGAAGGAGGGAGGGGTGACAACCATTTCTTTCTCGTTTCTGCACCGCAGACCCAGAGGTTTATATGTGCACGTAAGGGATGCTCTAAGGCTGTCAAGCAGGTGCGCTGCCTTTCTTTCAATTTCGAAGTTGGCCACTTGTTGAGCGTGGGTACGAGTCCAGGCCAAGCGAGTGCCCACCTTTAGTGGTTTGAGGATTCTCTTTCAGTTAGTGCAGGTGTTGGCGGTATTTTAAAAGTTATGCATGCCATGCATCTCACGTAGAGGTGCGTCTTCACACTGGCACCGACGTCAAAAAGGCAAACCTTATGTGTCAGTCTGAAGGTTTTCTTATCTAGCCTCTTTTACGTGCGATGCGTGGCGGCGAACGCACATTGTGCGTTTTGACCACGGGAAGTGGGATTGCTGGCACAGAGAGGCGCTCTGATAAGAAACCGAAACCTAGAAATGCGTCCAAATTTAGCATTTTTTCGTTGGGGCATAAGGCGCTGCATGTACCTTGTATCATTATTATATAGGTGGATTTAGTAGTTTTCAATGATGCCCAGCAAGTTTCTAATTAAAACCTTGCCCTTAAAGGGTCCATAAAACAAATTTTGGGATGGGATAAATTATTTTAAATTGGGACTTTACTAATCTCATATCGTTTAGTTGGCCAAAAGAAAGAGGGTAGAAAGTCGAAAGCCAGCTTTTCGGTGCGGACATTTGAAAATATAACGGTCTATTTTGTACCTTCTTGCTTTCGAAACTTTGATACATCCGCACTATGGTACACTATGATACATCCGCGGTTCCCAAAACGCGTCACCGCCGCCAAACTAACGTCAGCAGAGCACATCTCACGCATTGGACACGAGAACTGCGTCACTCGGACGTATGCGCTCGTCAACAATCAATCCGTCGACGAATATTTGGATTCGTGTTCGTGGCCAATGAGTGCCCTGACGGAACTTATTGTCACTGGGGAATGACAAGTTCTATGGTGTGCATAAAAAAGCAGGATGGAAGCTAAGAGTCATCGCACAGGTGCCGAAGAATGTCACGACGACGGGATTTTACAATTCGCATTTGAGTTGAGGATTAAAGCTAAGGAGGAAGAAGTAGGAAAATCGTTTCATGACCCCTTAAGTTCAATAATTAAAGAAGTTAGTTACTCAAAAATAATAAATAACTTAATTATTCTGCACTTAATTGATTTTCCTAAATAGGCCCCTTGACAGGGGCCAAAATAACATCAACCTTTTTCTTGTGCGATGCATCGATTTTGCAAAATTAATTTTGCCGTAATTTCATGAAACAGCCTGCATATCAAATGGCTGAAAGTGGAGACGTGCAAGCTGTGAAAAGAATGCCGGCACAACATTGAACGAGACACAGCACCAGCTTTGTCGGGGCTCGTAGAAAGAGTTGTAGCACAGGTTTGCCGACAATGTGCTTTTTTATTTATTTTTAAGGTCAATAAATGAATATCTTGGCCAACAAGCAGACTGCCCCATATTTGTAGACTCTAAAAAAACAAAGTTTTTTTCCAGCCAATTTTTGCCTGTGTAGGCAATACAGCAAGTGCATGCTTTTGCCCGGAAAATACAGTATAAAGCCCTTTAGCTTCTTCTAAATCTTGACACCCATGTGCGATAAACCAATCCACTTGGTGGTCCTTTTGTCAATTCTTTTGGCTTCTGTCACGGGTTTCTCGACCATGTGAGCAGAGTTTATTAGGGTATGCGTGCCACTGCTGCAGTTCTTACATTAACCTCGGGTCAAACAAAGCCTACAATGTGTAGTCTCACCGGCCATGCAGCATGCAGTCGTTTGACTTTGATCTGTTGCACACATTTGAGCACAAACAAGCCTCTTCTATATGCCTCAAGGGGTTGCGGGGACATGTTACGTAGCCATTCTTCTGTCGGTTGAATACATATTTGGAACCCGTTGTATCCAAAGTTTGGCCATGTGGCTACGTTTTGATGCTTGCATAGAAATGTTTACTTCTTTAACTTAAGTCAACTTTTGCATTTTAAAAACAATAAGCAGTCTTTCCGGTGCTGGACGCAAAGGTACTTCCATTCGCTGGATTTGTTTGTTTCTGAGCTCTGCCCAATATTTTGGCCCAAATGTGCTTGGGAAATAGGTTTGCCCATTTCTCCCATAGTTTCTAAACTCCTCGGTAACGTGTCGACATGCGGGGTAGAATGACTGCGGATTATTGCAACTGCTGTTCGCACAACTCCAGTCGGAACGGCTGCCTTAGCCACCCTGGATGACAAGTGTTCTCTGCGCACATTTTAGTCTTTAGACTAACAACCTAGAAATACCCCGTTTGTGAAATTGGTGGCCATATAGCCTGGTTGCTCTCTGATCAGTCCGAAAACCAAAGTATTTTCCAAGAGTCCCAGTTGGCTGCCACCGCATTCTTGCGAGGCAAGGAACAGGTTCACAGATTCTCACTGGGCAGCTCCAGAGTCCGGCCAGAGTGCCTGCAGCCTGACGGGGATCTGTTGCCGCTCAGGTGCCACGAGGCTGAGGTTTTGTTTGCCGGGATTAGCAGGGCAAGTTTGCTGTGGACAACTTCACTTGTTTGCGACTCCCTGGACGGTTGGGTCAGCTGACTGGCTGTGGGAGGGGCCACAAAGGGGGTCTCGAGCAGAGATGTCTCGGTTATATCTTTGTCAAATATAATTATATCCTAGTCTTTTTTTTCTAGAATGATGCTTTATTGTAACTCCATCCCACAGCTGTCGCATGTCATGTCTTATAGTGTAACACTTGTGACTTATTTTTAAATTTGAGGTTTTTTTTTTGTTTCACAAAGTTAATTTTTTTTATTATAGATTTTCACGTGAATGTTTCTAGTACGACTAATATTTCTTGAGATTTTTTTATTGTGCATTCTACGAAACGAGCTTGATTTCCCTTTTGATTTGTTTTGTAGAGTTGTTGCACACAGTATTATGCAATTATCTCGAACTGCTGAACTTTTGGGGACAAAGGCCTTCTCGGAGGCCTTTGTCCCCTAAATTCGCAATAAACCCGCAAATTCAATAAAAAAAAAAAAAAGAAAAAGAAAACTTGGAGGGATTTGTTGGGGAATTCGGACGTGCGTCTAGAGCAAGGGTGGCTAAACTGCGGCTCACGGGTTGCATGAGGCTCTTCACTGGTCCAGGTGGGGCTTGTGGCTTTCTAATAGGAATGCCCCCCCCCCCCCCCTTAAAAAAAAATTCTAGGAAGAAAAAAAAGCTTATAGTCTTGGCACCCTTGCACTACAGTACGTACATACAACTGGACGTTTTTTTTACACATAGATGTTGTTCAGTGACCCTGTTTCCTTCATTGTTCTAGAAAGAATTTCGAACCGTATACGCATAACGTGCGTCGGGGGCAGCAGCGTGCTTGCGAACCATGCATTAATTTTTGCTTAGCGGTTGAAACATTCTGCTGCCTGGTGTCATTTGTTGTCGACAATTAGACTTGTCCCCCTTGGAAAGGACTGTTCCCCCCATGTCGCTTCTTGTTAAAATAAGCCCCCCCCCCCCCCCCCCCCCCTCTTTTTTTTTCCCCTGCGGCTCTGTCAACTTTTGCAGTTGTGTCTGTGGCTCTGGCCCTATTCCACTCTGGCCACCCCTGGTCTAGAGTTTGGCAAATTCATTGGGAAATATTCCAAAGTTCCCCCCAAGAACTTTTGAAAAGTCAAGTTTTGCTCAAGTAATTTCGGTGTTGATATTTGACGGTTGCGTTGCACACACGCGACACGATAACGTAACCCTCGAGGGCGTTCGGGAGAGGTTGTTTTGGCTCGTTGCCTGCCTTCATTGTCCCTGTGCAAAGCTGTGCAGTGTGGAAAAAGGGAACAGTTAAGTCAAATCAGACCTAGCACTTCGGTTTTGACTTTGGGGCTCTGTTTTGGGGTGCGAGTTGGTGTAAGTTGCACAGTGCCGATCTAAAGCCGAAGAGGATGTACGGGCTCGGGTGCTCTAGATGTGATGGCAAGTGGTTTCATGCTGCCTGGATCTGCAGGAACAACTGGCAGGTCCCTGCTTTATCTACTCGTTCGGGGGTCCTAGCCCCATTGTTGCCTTTTTTTCTTATCCATGCGTATGGAGCTAAACTGAAGGGATTATCTGTAACCTAGAGATAATCCTCAATCTGTTGCTAGTTTTGTCATTGGCACCAGCTACATTGCGTGCTCGTGACCGTCATATAGTGGAAGGTGAATGTGGTCAAGGGCAAAGGCCACTGGCTTTTTTGGAGGCCTTTTGTTTGCAAATTGAAAACTGATACCTGCTTTATAAATGGTAAAAGTTTACTTTAAGCACGATAGTTTGTTTTACTTTGTGCTAGCGAAGGTGAAGCTACAAGCACGAGCGTGATGCCCCAGACAATGCTTGCACTGCACAAAGGCACATGCTTTGCAGGGGATGCCGAAAGACTGAAACTCATTCTTGTTGCTTTTGCTTTGGGGTGGAGTATATTTCTTTAGGAAGGTTTAATTTGGCGTTGACATCCACGTTTGTAGAATGTGCCATTTTTGACGCATTATTATCGAACGGCACTCGAATCGCGACTGCAGGCGCTTGTCCTCTCCGGCCTTGGCAGTGCTTCCTTTCATGCGGTCTTAGTTAAACGCCAGTCCAGACGTTTGTGTTTGAGTGTGTGATGACCACTTGTGACCACTTACAAGGAGGCGGTTGCTACGGCAACCAAGGTTTGCGCAGCGCGTCGTAGTGGAACGCAAGTGGTCGTGGCATCGTCGGTCACGCTCGAATGCAAGCGCCCCAACGCTGTCTTCAGCCAGGCGGCCGAGGCCCAGTGCAGCCTTTCCGTGTCCCATTAGAAAAAGCCCGCGCATCCCCGCAGAGCCCGGACCTGTCCCAGCTGTCGGACGAGCAGTTCGAGGACATCCTCAAGGAGTTGGCGCAGTGCAAGAGCGCGGCACGGTCGAGCTCGCTGGTGCGCTGCCTGCGCCGGGGGGTGCGGGACCGGGAGGAGGCCCCGCCCTCCCTCCATGGGGCCCCCCACCGCTCCCTGCAGGACCTGCCCCAGTGCACGCGGGTGGCTGGCAGGGGCCGGCCGGGAAGGCCGGGCGGGCCCCCCTGCGAGGCCGAAACCCCTCCGGGGGACGCGCGGCCTGCCCTCAACAACGGGACGGCTCACCGGGACGACCTGGCCGCAAAGGTGGGGGCCCTCGGACGCTTTCGGGCCTCCTCGCACTCCTTTGGCTCGGGTGGTGGCACGCGGTGGCGGTGGCGTCCGATCCGACCGTTGGTCGCCGTCCACTTTGACGGCTTCCGGAAACTTGGGGGTTCAGGAGTCGGGTCGCTGCGCCAACAACGACACAAGCTTTTTTTTGCCACTGCTTTAATGACCGGCCAACTGGGTTATGACGCGGGATGGAGCGACGTAATTCGTTGCCACTTCCCACATTGCCACAAAACGAGTTCCGTTCCGGCACATTTCCTTCGTTGTCACAGAGCGAGTTTTGGCTCACGGTCGGCACGGGACGCCGAGGCCTTCGGTCGTAGACGCATTCCAGGCACTCTTGTGGCTGGGGGGGTGGGGGGGGGGGATGTTAGTAAGGTGAGAGTTACCGTAAAGTTCCGAAAGAACGCCAACCCAAAATTAACAAACAAATGGTGTAAAACATCGGGTGGGCTGTTTTTGGGGATGCCACAGCAAACCTTGATCAAAAATTAATTATACCGGGCGCCTGCTGCGAACCACATGATGTGGCAACTGATATTCCAGATCGCGGACACCGCTAATTTGCGTTTCACAATGCGACAAGCACACGGGAACTCGCTACGAACTCCTGTGTCACGGGAAAAGATACCGCAGGTTGTGGACGCAGCAGATTCGCGTTCTACCGTGCGAAGGACCCACGGAAACCTGCCGAGGACTCTCATCTGATGGGGACGAACACCGCAAATCGCGGACGCAGCAGAATCATAATTCACGATGCAATATACACGCGGGACCAACTCACGTGTTATGGGAATCAATATCGCGCACGCAGGTCGCAGACAGAAACGCGGAAATGTGCTACAAACTTATGTCACGGGAACGGATACCGCAGGTTGTGGACACGGCAGATTTACATTTCATGATGCAATATACACACAGGAACAACTCGATTATGTTACGGGAGCTGATATCGCGGTCGAAAACACGGGAACCTGCTATGAACTTGCTTATCAGACGTACTGGTACAGCAGATCGCGCAGCGGATGCAAATCCATTTGGACATCGCGTGACGTCCAATGGGAGTGGGGGGTTGGCTATACTTTAGAAATTTTATGTTACAGGTATTTAGCCATAAAAACGGAATGGGTGATCTCTCGGGGGGTGGGCTTTCTGTCAGAAATTTACGGTAAGCAGATGGAGAGTTGGGCTCTCGGTGGGCACGGCGCAGTTGGAAACGTGGACGGAGGAAGATACAAGACGGGACCGAGTGCCGACTACAAGTTTTCGTGGACGTGTGCACCTGTTAGCAGTGGGGGTGTTGTGTGTGCTATTTTGTGGAGAAACTTTCGGTTGGTCGAAAATTTCGGTTTGTTGGTGGGAGTTCAGTTTGGTCTCTTTTCGTCGTTTGTCCTCGTATGTATTCACACGGTTGTGCCAAGAGACAAAAGATGCCCTTGTTCGGCATAGTTTTTGTGCTGGCTCATAACAGTCTCGCCGACCGTCGTGCGGTAGAACCTGGTCGACGTGACTTTCGGGCAGTTGTGAGTAAGTTACTTTTAAAAAGTAATTTGTTACAGTTACAGTTACTTTGAACAAGTAGCGAAGTTACCTTTACAGTTACCGCAACAAAAGAGTAACTCATTACAGTTACAGTTACTTTTAAGAAGTAACGACGTTACTTTTCAGTTACCTTTCTATAACTCAAAAATTAAGGAAAAACTAGTGTTTGAAATAAATAAATATAGACACGAATCAGTCGGGCTTCCACCATAGTGGTAAATTCAAACTTAATAATTTAGCTGGAAAATTAGTCAATATTATAAAAAGAATAAAGACCAAAGTTCAACTGGATGCGTTTTCTCAGATTTGAACACGAAGACTTGTTGTCGGAGTGCTCCTTGTTGCAAAGTTTGCCTACTGTGGTCAAATTGTTGGCAACCCCCTTCACCATAGAAAAATACTCTCTGTACGCCGGCCATGCTAGTTCTTTGTTCTCATCAACATCCCCATCCTTGGTAGCACTAGCACATTGCTGGCTCGTTGACGGTTGCGCTGGGTTCATGGACTCCTTTGATATATCTCAGTTTGTACCCAGCAAACCAGAAGCAAGCCCTGCGCAAACAGCAGTAAATTTTGCCTCCACCGTTGAAACCATGCCGGAGTAGTGGCGCAAATCAAGATACGAGACATGCGCAGTGCGGAGAAGTGGTGCTAATCAAAATACAAAACATACGAAGTTCCCTCCACGTGTATTGTTGTTTCACGGTTGATTCACCCGATTGAAAAGCGTGCGCAGAAAAAAGAAAAACCGCAACAGAGATAGTGCTTAATATACTAAGATGTAAGTGTTCAGTCAAAAGGTACAAGCAAGTGCATAAAGATAACTACATTCTTCTTTTTTTTCATCAAATCTACACTTGGCTATATTCGAATAGTGACTCGCGAGAAAGAACGTATTCTCAAGTTTGTGCTAGGCCAACTGACACACGAAATGTCGGAACAGACAATTTGGAAAGTCCAAGAAATAGCTAGATTATTTTCGTTCAATGATATATTTTTCACAAAGAACTGAAAAGTAATGACAAAAGTAAAGTTACTTTCATTGTTACCTCACAAAAAGTAATAGGACTACAGTTACAAGTTACATTCTTAAAAAGTAACTCGTTACAGTTACAAGTTACCGAATAAGTAACGAAAAAAAGTAGCTACGGTAACGTGTTACTACCCAAGACTGCTTTCGGGTGACCGAGGCGAGAACACTCAATTCGAAAAGGCCTAAAAAAAAAAAAAAAGACGACCAGAGGGGCCCTTTGGATGAAAATGAGAATTAATTCTCGAGCGGCATTTTATTTCATGCGGTCTTCCACGGCCACAAGGATCTAGTGCATTAATTAAGAAACTGGTAAATCAAAATATTTATTAAAATACTGAACGTTTTTTAAAATTTCGAATTGTTTGTTAAAATGAGGGGTCGATCGAGAGTCGTGGCAAAACGACGCGGGAATGAGCGAAATTTACGTGCCTGTCGAGCTACCCCTGCCACTCCCCCATGTCGTCGGCTGTGAAACGGGGCCTAATACCACAGGTCGCATACACAGCAAGTTTGCTTTCTGCGGTGCGATAAGTATGCGAGAATTTGTTAGGGACTCTCGTCACAGGGACAGTTAATGCGTATGCAGCACATTTGCGCTTCACAGTGCGATCAACACTAGAGAAACTGTCACAAACGCGGGCGTCACGGGAACCAATATCGCGAGTGCAGATTGCGGACAAAAGTGCTGGAGCCTGCTACGTAAAAAAGCGCAGAAACCTGCACGGAAACAGATGTTGATTGCAGATGAAGCAGATTTGTGTTTCACGGTGCAATAACACTGGACACCACTACAAACTTGTGTATCACGGTAACTAATATCACACCCGCAAATAGCGGGCAAAAATACGATACCGGAGCGAATTTCGAACTTGCATTTCACGGGAAGAGCTGCCGCAGATTGCGAATGCAGCAGATTGATGAGTCCAGGTGCGATAAACGTGCGAGAACCCGGGGCGAACACGCTTGTCACACGTACCCACACCGCAGATTGCGCGGTTAATGAGATTTCCGTCGGGCATTGCGTGATCAATACCTGGCTGGAATCAGGGGTTGTCCAATGTTTCTCAATTTTTATGTTATGGATGTTCAGCCCAGAAAACGGAATGGGCATTGTATGGGACTTTATGGTAGCATGATGGGGTGTTCAGTTTCCGAGACATTTATCCCGGCCCGACCCGGGCCCGATGCAGTTGACAATAAATGAGCCCGAACCTGTTGCGAGCCAGGACATCGGCCCGAGCTCGGCCAATGTCCTGGTTTTGGGCTTTCGGGTGTGTCCGAGTTCGCGCAGGTCTCTATTCGCTACGAACTCGCATGTCAAGGGAGCTAATATGACCCGCACATCGCAGACGCAGCAAACTCTGGTTCCATGGCGCAACAAACGTGCAAAAACCTGCAACAAATTCGCTCGTCACACGTACCGATGCCGTAGATCACGCAGTTGATTTGGTTTTGTCGGAAATCGCGTTGACAAGTTGGTGCGTGGGCGAATTTTGGAATTTTTAGCCCGTGGGAATTCAGTCAGAAAAACGGAATGGGCGATAGGGTGTTCATACCAGATTTTAAGGTACTTGTGTTGGCGCATGAATGAGCTTTAATTCCAGAAATTGGTCAGCTTGGACTGCTTACACTTTTCTGAAAAAAGCGCGACATGGTGCAATTCTCCCAGTTGTGTAGTCGTTGTGCGCATTTGCAAAAGTCCCCACAGTTTAGAAAGCCTCTCTTTCTTGGAACGTGAACACTGGAGTATAGAGTCTCGAGCATCGTTGTATTCATCAGTTGAGCCATCGTAAATATTTTTAATGATTTGTTTGTCATTCATCTCTTTGCAAATAATCGCACCCCTGTCGGTGTCAGTGCCGACAAGGACGTGCCGAAAGTGCTTGCGATATCTGCCTTTTATTTTTGAACTCGCTGCCTCGGCGATAATGTATTTTCTCTTAGAGAGAAAAAAATATTTGTTGCACGTCAGCGTCATACTGGTACTGCATTGCCAACTATCTGCCTCTGTTGAAAACTCTGGCATATCGTTGTGCAAAATCACACACTGGTGGTACCAACTAGTACCGGTCTACGACCACATGCTGCAATAACGGCTCGCAAGGACTTCACTCGAACCCAAACCTGACACAAATGAAAAATGAAAATTCTTTCGTTTCCCGCCTTTGTAGGGAGTGAAACTTTGGAGGTCTCGCGGAGTGCTCCACTACATGCTCATTGCCACCAAAGGAGGTTTCCACCTCCAGGGTTGCTCAGAACTTCTGCTCTTCGTGGCCTTTTTGGCGAGATTGCGAGCCACCAATGTCAAAAATAATTTTATAGTCCTTTAGTTAGTAAGTCGGAGCTTTTCTTTACGAAAACTTTGAAGTTAAGCAGCGTTCGAAAATATGTTTTGTGCAAAGATAACTTTTTGACACTAATAATAATAATAATAATAATGCTGCGTTTGTGCTTATACAGCCTGAACTTAGTCTACCTCAATAGGCGACTTGTCTTTCAGCCGTGGATGAGCAATTTAGCCGGTGCAGTACAACTGCTAGCCAGGGGTCTTTGACGTGCGCCACGCAGTAGTGACACCCGACCGCTCGTCGGTACGATGCTCGTCCAGGTCGGAACGAACAGGGCCGCGGTGCGAGCTTTCGTTGCACATGCTCCGAGCTGGCGTGCGCTAGCCTACTCAACCGCCGATCCCCCCATCATTTTATTTTTTTTTACGAGATTTTTTATGAACAAACGACGGGAAATTAAAAATGCTCGGTTGCATTAATTTTGTCGAAGCGGCCTTCACTCCGGCAGTATTCGACTGCAGCGTCGAACCGACGAGATCTGGCTTGTCGGGCCAGTTGGTGCGCTAAAAAAGGAATAGCTATGAGGCACTTGTACCAAAAAACTGTGCAAGACGCCTCTTGCAGCCCGCTCTCCACATGTGGTGTGGCAGACAGCTTCTCGATCGGCGCCGCGCCGCTCCGCCCCGGGGTCCAACTGGTTCCCCCATTGCAACGGGGTTTCTGATAAGGGGTCTGCCCAGGGGGCTCCTCGTAGAGCGCCCCTGATGTGCCCCCGGCCCGGTGCCCCCTTCGGTCGGGGAAAGGGGATGTCCGGAGCGGATGTCCGACTCGCGGGGTTCTGGGTGACTTTTGTTGTGAGGAAGCCCAAGTGCGCTCCTTGCTGATAGACTGTGCCTTCTGCCTCTGCAGCCGACTGCTGTGGAGCTCCTGGAGACCAAGACGTTCCTGCTTGAGAGTAAGTGAAATCCTCTTTTGGTTGCGGGGCAGACGTCGCTCGGCCGTCTTGTCGTCTTCTACTTGACCCTCGGGTGATTTCGGGTAAGATCAAATGGAAGGTGGCTGGTCGACCTTTTTAATTTGATTCATAAGTTTATATGTTGTTTTCAAGTGCCCGAAATAAACAAAAACCAATATTTTCACTCTCAAAAAAAAAAATTATTTGATGCAAAAATATCTTGGATCACGAACAGGTGGAAAGTCTCATGTATTTGTGCATCCGGAGTGGTCACCTTTGGTGATAGATGAGTGAACTTCTTTCCGAGTGAGTTTCATAATTGTTTCACGCACTCGGTACCTGTATTTTAAATAATTGAGTCGCAAACATAATATTTTGATGCAACACTCTACTCGTAAATATAAGTAAATTGACGAAAAAATGCAATTTATTCATGAACAGGTTGTATAGATATTGACAAGCAAACACGAGAAAAGCACCAAGCTAAAAGAACTGATGATAATTTTAAAAAAAACAATCTCGTTCTTAATTTTTTTAAACTGTCCAGTCATTCTATTCTTCTTTGGGAGTTCATATTTTCATTAAAAACATGTTGCATCATATTGGTGGTGTTATAGATGCAGCTCCTCTACCAAAGCCCTTTTCAGAGGCTCGGCACGGGCTGTCGCTATTGTGCAACAAAGTGACTGCGACTTCTTATTTTGTGAAAAGAGCACAATTTTTTTTTGTTACCCGAGTGATGCAAGGAATACTGTTAAATAGTGTACACATAATAATAAATTGGACATTAAGTAATCACACGACACGAAAAACTGCTTTGCCTTCTCGAGTGTCAAAATGGACAGGTGTTAACTAGTCGAAAGTTGCCGTTGCAAAATACCCACGCGGTCGTGCTGTGCGGACACGCTCCCTCTCCTCCCCCCTGCTGCCTTTCAGGTTCCGTTCTCGTGTACTCTCCGCACCTTTACGAAACAGCTCGCATGCATACTTTCGCTTCTTCCACCACAGGCGCGATTGCGGGCACCCCTTTGTTCGGAAAAAAGTGTTTCAGCCCAAGAAAAAGCATGTCTCTGTGTCCTTCTCCAACTCGTGCAACATCTCGTGCAATCGTTCCACAGGAGCAGACGCCTCCTCACACACTGCTCCTACCTCGATTCCGCTGAAAGGAAAGAACCCACTGCAAACATTCTACAGCACACTGGCTGAAGGAAAGTCTCCTTTAGCACGCCTTTCTACAATGCAGCAGCTACCCGCTGTCAGTCGCAGCACACTTTGTGTGGTCGTTTGTATTTTCTTGGGAAAGAGTGTTCATCATTATCTTCCTGATTGGCGTTTCCTGGGAGCCCCCCCAGGTTGTGAAACGTTGCTTGGTACTTGATGAGTCCTCCAACTCCGTCGCACACAAAACATTACTTGGCTAGGTGTTCAGCATTCCGTGAAGCCCAGATAAAGGTGTGGCCGCGAAGCTTGACACTGCTTGGTTGGGGGATGGGAGAGGAGGAGTGAGGAGTTAGAAAGCTGATTGGTTGGCAGGTGGGAGAGAAGTGAGGAGCTCGATGCTGATTGGTTGGCGGGTGGGAAAGGAGGAGTGACGAACTTGACGCTGATTGGTTAACGGGGAGGTCATGTGACTAGAGGGCGAGGAGGAGCTCAACCGCATGTGTGTACTGCATAGGTCGGCATTTTAGGACCCACTCACTCACCATCACATCACCGAAATTGGCAGCCCATCAAAGTCATTCGGAATCACATCACAAAGTACACCACCATTCAAAAGTCACAGCCCTTCACATCACAGAGTTCAACTGTGCCAAAGACTCATAGCCAATCACATCACGCACCCGCAAACTCGCCCCCATCATGGTTACTCACAATCACGAGGAGGTCCCACTCACAGCCAGTCACTCACATCACGGCCCCTCAGAGTCGCCCCCTTCACAGCTACTCACACTCATGAAGAGGAGGCCCCACTCACGGCCGCATCACGGCTACTCACACTCATGAGGAGCTCACACTCACGGCCAGCCACTCACATCACGGCCCCTCAGAGTCGCCCCGATCACGGCTACTTACACTCATGAAGAGGAGGTCCCACTCATGACCCCATCACGGCTACCCACACTCATGAGGAGACCACACTCACGGCCAGCCACTCACATCACGGCCCCTCGGAGTCGCCGCCTTCACGGCTACTCACACTCATGATGAGGAAGCCCCACTCACAACCCCATCACGGCTACTCACACTCATGAGGAGCTCACACTCACGGCCAGCCACTCACAATCACGGTCTCGCGTCCCCTCATCGAGGGGCCTCCTCGCTACGAGCCGAGCGGGCCGGCGCCTGCGGCTCTAATGTTTGTTTTGGTTTGTTCCCAGTATTTCTTTTTAGTTTTTTTAACATTGAGCAAGAGGCATCCACACCACGCCGGCACCACAGCACTACTAAAAAAAAAAAAAAAAAACTATATATACAAAAAAGCCAACCCCCGAAAGTTTTTTTCTTTTCCCCTTTTATTTGCACCGTTTCCCAAAGCAAAACCTCCGTATAACGGAGGTTTTGCTTTGGGAAACGGTAGGCAGTACAGACAGTCTGGCGACGCACTGCGCGGAGGGGTGCAGCGCACATATCCTACTACGCATGCAGCGAACTGCTCACTCGGCGTTAAGACGTATTCGGAAGTTGCGAGCGAAACGGGGCAGAGGAGAAGTCCACCGTGGCAGCGGAATTAACCTGTAGTGGACGGCTGGCGTGGCACGTTTGCGGCACTGTCTAGGGCGCTGAGCATTCCTGGCACTATCTGTGGGCCTCGCCCACTAAAAAAAAATAATAACAATAAAAATAAAACTTTTGAATATTGGCGATGTTTCTGATATAGTTGATGTGAGACGTTGCATGCCAAATTTAGCATATTTCCTTCCTAAATCTTGAACTTTGTTAGTCCTTCTAAAAAGGATATAGGGGGAACCGCATCGTAATATTTGAGGCACAGACTTTTTAGGTGACGCTAAAGGCAGCCGCATCATTAGTTCAAAAAGAGAAATGGGTCAATATTCTCCTTAAGCGGCATTCATACGAAAAAGAAATCTGCAGAGGGACGGGCTTGATGTTGGCGGCAGACACAATTTCCTTCTTGGCTTTGTTTTTCACGCCAACCAGGTGCAGGGGGAAAGGATGTCGGAGCTTGCAGATCAGTTAACTCTTTCCTGGCCATGGGAAAAGTAGCAATTTTCCTAACTAATTTGCATACGTAGCAAATATGACTTGTCAAAATTTGGCCAATTAGTTGTTTTGTCTGAGGAAACTGGTTAGTGTAATGTGGGTAAAAGATCTAAAATGTCATTCTTGAAAATACCGTATACGTGCGGAAGGCTTATAAACGCCGAAACTTCTACAGCTATGTCATGTTAAGGGGAGACACTACCCAGAAAAAACAATTTCTGCTAAAAAGGTTGATTTTGAAAAATGTCATACATCCACCAACATTTAGAGTATTCCCAGAAAGTTTCATTAGTTGACACTGCATAGTTAATTTTTTATAAATTAGTTTCGGTCCACTGATGCTGAAGAAAAGGTAGAGGTTGGAGCACTTTGAATGCATTTTTCTCCATTCCACTTTTGGCATAAATTTCACTTCAAGAAAACTATTGTTTTGTTGTTACGAATCATTTTTATGAGTTTTTCTGGGGTGAAATTTTAAGGGGAAGATAGCTGTGTGATTGTATTTTTTATTTTTGTCATTTTTTATGCTCAAGAACTACAATTTTGGACGAAGGATGGAAATCTAAAAAAACAGTATTTGTGTTTATGTGACTGTTCTGTCATGAAAGACGGTATAATAAAAAAAAATATAGCTCTATAGCTATCTGCTTTGAACTGTCCTAAAGCAATATAACACTTGAAAACAACCAATTTATGAGTAATTTCAAAACGAAAGTTTCCCTGCACAGTCACATCTTTGAACAATTGCAATTTTTTTTGCACTTCACCCAGGTTAACAAAATTTGGCAGAAATGTTCTCAACATTTCTGCCAAAAATCAGACAAGGGGTTCAAACATCCATTTTTTTTTTTGGGTAGTATAAAAGAAAAATTGAAAATATACAAAACGTGCCCCACACCGACGACTATTACTTCTGAAAGTTAGTGTACTCTAACTAACGTTGTCTATTTTTAGTTTGTCGGAGTGTTGGCCTCCGTAACACGTGTGCTTTTCCGCGAAGGAATGCTTATATTGGTGAAACACAGATAGTACACCTGACATCCCCAGCAGAATGCTTTCTCTGTGTTCTACCTTGGTTTAGTCATAGCCTCGATTTCAGTTCCCCATATCTAGCATTTTTGTCCTTGTAGGGAACATAACATGTGCACGCCAGCTCAGGACAGCATTGGAAGTTATAGGGATGCTTATACCGACAACCACCTGTTATGCGACATCTATAAGATCATTTAAACTTTCCCCAGGGTTCTTGAAGTCTAAAAAATATGATGCAATAGAGTTGAATTACGTAAATGATGCCATCTTTGTTACGAAGCCCGATGCAAGCAGTTAGCCATGTTAGACGAGTGCAACTACCTTTCCCAGGACTATTTTTGATGGCCCACCAGCTTGCGATAGAGCTCTAACCTACGTTCGAACCGAAACTACAGTTCTTCGGCTATTCTCCGCTCTAAATTTAATTTCGTGACTGCTCTTGGAAACCATCGATTACCAGTGATCGACAGCCTGTGGGTGAGACCAGGAAAGAGTTAAGCGGTTTCCATGCTTTCCATATACCACCGCAGACGAATTCGGAGGTCTACATTTGACACCTAAGCGTTTAACGACAAACTATCGTTCAAAACAAACCGATCTGCCGCCGAACCGGCTTTGTTTGTACCGCCGAGGATCCCTCCCTCCCCGCCGCCGGGCCGACGTTGTGGTGGAAAAGCCCAATGTTTTCGTCGCACGGTGCGTGCACCGGGGAGAGATGCCAGGCATTTCTCCCTCTCGCGAATACCGCTTAAATTGGAAAAGGCAGCAAGCAGACTTGGCAGATCTTAACAAAAGGCCCGAAGCCTCGTGCAGCCGTACCAAACAAGGTGCTAATGCTTGCGGACTATTCGTAGAGTGCTCCTTTAGGCTCCGCCGGGCGTCGGTTAAACGTTCGACGCCCCCGCTACATCAAATTTCGAAAATGCCACGGCTAGAGGAAGTCGAGCTTGACTAGTAGCTCGGAGGGCCGTCTCTAATTTCGTCGACGGCGCACACGTCACCTTTGGGTCGGGGCTCGACAAGGGTGGCAAGCGCCAAATACGGCACGCCTTGGGCGTACCGGGGGCTGAGCATGGTGGGGCTTGCAGGCGAAGCGACGGGGTCGCGGGTGGGCGGCCGGCCGGGCAAGGGCAAGAAGGGGCGCAACCACGCGGAGGAGACGGTGCGACTGGCCCGGCACATCGAGGGCAACCGGGGGGACGACGCCATTGACGCCCTGGTGGCCTTCATCTGCTCGGAGGACAAGGCCGGCAAGGGCCCCAACGGCCTGGATCGCAAGCTGAAGGCGGCACCCCGCAGGGCTCGGCACCCACCCCGAGAGCGGGAGAGGCCCTTCTCGCCCAGCTTCTACTCGGACCAGGGGGCGGAGCCGGAGGAGGGCCCCGGCCGGCCCGACGTGTCCTCCTACTCGGACGTGGATCAGGTGCAGGAGGAGTTCCGACTGGTCACCAAGAAGCAGCGGCGCCGGGGCAAGGAGGCCCTCCCCCGCAGGCCCCCGTGCCCGGCCCCTGTCACGCCCCCCTCCGAGCCCTCGTCCCCGTCGGACAGCGGAGGGGGGACCCAGCCGTCCCCCCGACCCACCCCCCCCACCTCGTACGCGGACGTGGCCCGGATGCCCCGCGGTGGCTGCCGGACGCCCCCCCCGGCCCTCCCGCCACCCCCCGTGGTGCTGCTGGGCGGAGCGTCCCTTCCCCCCTGCGGGCCCTTGGGCCAGATCACCTTCGGCTTCGACGTGAACGAGCAGCTGGTGCGCATGACGCTGGACGGGCCCCGTCCTCCCGACCCCCTGGGCAGCTTCAACTACGCGGACGTGGTGCACTTCCTCGGCTCCGGTGAGCACCCAGCTTTTCTTTCCCCTTTTCCGCGAGTAAGGCCTGATGATTGGCCAAGTGATGAGCTCTAGTTTGCGAGTGGCAATGCGGTTGTACCTTTCTGCAATGAAATCTTCGATGTTGACGGAAAACGCCTCTTCTACGAAAGTGCCCGTTCGACTGAGTAAAACCGAGTCCTCACCGGGTTGTTTGAAGACTAGAACGAACTGGGTGGCCCAAATGCACACTCGCTCCAGGATTGACGGTCGAGTTTTTTCCTAAACGACGTTTCCCAGTGGTTGGGATTTCAGCGACGTGGTTGCCGCGCCAAACTGTGCCGAAGTGCTTACCCCGCAACACTTCGACAGGTGCGGTGAATTTGTGCCAACATTGAGCCAAAACGGCCCTGTCATTGTAGTGGGCTTCTTCAAATTTTCTGAACTTTAGGATATTGCCTTAAATGACGTGCTGCTTCATTTGATCTCTGTATCTCCATCCTCAAGTCTCCACCACCTACATGAAATTTGACTAATGAAAATAGTTAATTGCATGGAGATTTTGTATGATACTATTATTGCTCTTTTTAGGCAATATTTTGACAAAAATTTCAAATCTTTGGATGTAGGACACATAATACTGCAATCTTCGTTTGAAAACGCAGTCCAACGGCACCCTCTGGTGTCTGATCCAATGCGCAGAGAGAGGTGTGTCACAATATTTAATTTCCAGTTTTTTAGGATGCTTTAGAGCCTGTAGATTGAGTTATCACCATAAACAGACAATCTTAGATTTCATTGAACAGTTTTTAAGGTTCATTTATCGTTCCCATGCTGATTTTTGTCATCATGAAGTCCTGCGTATAAATTGTAATTGGTGTTAATAATCAAATGACGAAGGCTTTGCTTTTATTTGAATTAATAATTGCAGTTTTATTACAATCTTTTAGCACTTCAGTGAAACATCAGCTTAGGTGCTCAGCATTCTAATCTAACATACTATCCTGGGATATACTATTTAGTTTACCTTTGGCTCGTACCAAAAATAACTATTCGCAGCAATTCACAGTGTCCTTCATCATTCAGCATATTGTTGTCTTGCATGGTATTTCTACATGCCATAGCTAGTTAGTATGTGTTTGGGAATCAAATCTGCCGTGCAGTTGATGCTGACAAACCTCGCAAGGGGCACCTGTAAAAGCAGGTGTTTGGCAAGTGGCGTTGCCACGAACCCCGAGCCGTGTGGGTTCGCCTGTCCACGTTTGGCCGTGACTTTCCCGTGTCTGGGGAAAAGGGGATCCTGGTGGTTGAGCTGAGCTTGGGGATGGTTCGACCCTTCGGGGCCCCACGGCTGAGGCAATGCACTACCTCGGCCCTCGCTTTGCCAGGATGATTGGGCCTAGTCGCCTCTTCTTCTCTTTACCTTCATCTTCCCTCCTCTTTGGAGGCAAGGGCTAACCTTGGCTGGTGATAGAAACCCTTTTCTAGAACACAGTGATGGAAGTGTTGCGCCAAATTGCGCCAAGGACGCAACTTTGCTACATGTAGTGCGAAATTGTCATTTGACCGAAGAATTGCGCCATGCCTGCGCCGAGATGAGATGTGGCAATAAAAAATAAAAAAATGAAGTCCTGTCAGAGCGCGTGGCGGTACCGCGGTATTTTCCGCGCCGCAACTGTTACGCAAACAAACTGCGAGGGCGCATTATCATCATCATCATTGAAAGGAACAACGTTAGCAACGTCCGAGACCAAAGCCGCAGAGGCTAAGCGAAGAACCATTCCACTAAGCAGCCTATTTAGAAAAAAAAAAAGGCCGAGCTTGTGGATGTTTTTGATGTTGGCCCGCCCAGTTCCCGTGCGCTAGCTACCAGCGAAGTCAAAGCTAGCACGAGCCCAATGCTCTGTGCATTCCTGACTCGCGCGTGGGCTCGTGCAGTGTGGGCACCGTTACGGGCTCCATGCGCGTGCTTGTAGCTTCGGCTGCGCTCGCACCGAAGCTGAAACGAAGTGCTTTGTGCTCCTTTTCGGAGCACAAAGCACTGCGCGACTCGCGCGACTGCGGTGTCTGCTCCGCGGGTGTCGCTTCTCTGCAGCGTGTCGGTGCATGCCAAGGAGCGCACTCAACGGGTTAACGCGCCATGATCCGATCGTGACTTCGCCAACACATTGAAAATGAATCGGAATTTTTGAAGTGAATATCGGATACCGCAATATTTGACGCTGCTGCCCAATAGACAACTCTAATCTGAACTAAAACATTCCACAACAGTGACGGTCGTGAGATGCTGCTGCAGATACCTTAAAAGAAGTGCAGGCTGATAAAACTAAATATCCTGTACCATCAGAACTCAGTGTGACATATTTAATTGTATTTTTTTATCTGACGAGCTGATAAACTTTATTTAAAAAAAATGTTTTTTTTTTGTTTTTACTTTGTTGAATTTTATATATCCTGTCTTAAAAAATGCAACTGGCGCTGTGTTCCAATAGTAGTGATGGGCTTTATATAGCGATGCAGCATTATTTCATTTTCAAGTAATATGCCAACATATGCCGGACCCTGCTCCAAAAGGGCGACTACCTGCTCCAAAACAAGATTTTGCCTGCTACAAGGCCTGCTCCAAAAGGTCAAATGGCCCTTACATCACTGAGAACAGCACTCAGGTATAGTGCCTGGGCAGCACTGACAGCCCAACGTACTCAGCAAAGCCCCTTTTGTTATGATACGTTGGCTATCCCCATGATGGGCTCCATGGCGGCGGTGCACTGCAGCTGCCGAATTCTTGCCTTTTTATGGCGTCCCTCTCTTTTGATCCCCGAGCAGAGCGACAGCCCAAAAAGGGCTTGCCCTGCTCCCCCCCTACTTTTGCAAAAGCCAAAGAACCCGAAACCGTTTCTAGTTTTCTTATAGTCCATGCTGCAACCGACACCTTTGTTAAAGATTTCACCTTTCCTTGTCTCTGAGATCCTAGAGCAGGCGATTGAAATGAATTACGAGCCAAGAAAGCTTGCTTGGGTCTTCCTTGTTGAGGCAGAAAATAAAGCTCAAAGCACAGCATTACTTAAAAGAAACACTGACATGTCGAAATCATTTTTTTTTAATCCGAAATGATTGAAAACGATGCCTGGACATTACCTTTAAAATTCGAAACTTGGGAATTCAGTATTTGTGAAGTAAAGAAGCAATTTCCAAATGCCGAATTCCAAGTTCCTGCACGATCCGCGCTAGTGCAGTTACGTCAAATATTGAGCTGTCCTGTGAGTCGAGTTTCTTTCACGCCTCCGCTCCGAACCGCCGTTGCCGTCGGGTGTACCAAGAACAAACGGTTCCCTTTATGCGTGCCGTGCCGCCTATCGCTGCGAGCAGACGACACTCGACGTCTCACCGGTTCTGCGTGAAAGGCTGCCCCGGCGGAGTCACAACTAAAACTACAATACACAGACACCAAACCCAGTGGTTTTGACCGTTTGACGATTTCCTTTTCGAAGTCCGAGAGGTCGTCGGGCACCTAAAGAAGAACACTTCGTCCGATTCCCTGACTCGCCGATCATCCTCTGTTAATGCGTCGGGCGCCGCCATGTTTTCTGAAGAAGGATAAAAATCCAGAAGGCGACATCACACCGGACTCTGATCTTAGAGCGCAGCTCTTGGGCACCTATTCCGGTTTGAGCGGTGTCGCCGTCGCCGTAATCACGCGATGCATTATGGGAAATGTCCCATAATGCAATGCATTGGGGGAGGGGGAGGAGGAGGAGGAGGAGGGGAGGAGGAGGTGAAGGAGGAAAGGAGGAGAAGGGCGAGTAGGAGGAAGAGGAGGGAAGGAGGAGTATCAGGGAGGATGAGGAGGTGGGGTGGAGAGAGGAGGGGTATACCCTTTCCTCAGTAACCTTCCCTCCTCCTCCTCTAGAGCTGCGCTCTAATTCGGCGTTACACGGTGTTGTGAACGTCTTTCAATTTTTTTGGTATTTCAAAAAGAAAGCAGTGCGTTTGCAACTGCGTTAAAAACATGTTTTACTATTTCCGTTATTACATGTTATAGAAATGTCGCCTGCAAAGCTTCTAAATTTTTGTAATATTTGACGTCACAAATCAAAAGAAGCGAGGAGGTGAGGAGCAGGCGAGAGAAGCGGCAAAAATAAAAAGGTGTGCGTAGAGCAATTTTATTTTTTTGCGTTGCGGTATTTTTTTTTTTGTTTGTCTATGACTACAACTTGCATTGTTTTAGGCAATAAAAAAAAATACTATGTTTGGAATATCAGTGCCCCTTTAAGTTGACAAACTTAGGCAAACACCAGGTCTCTGTAACCCCACACTGCACTCTGAATACTGCCCGTGGCGTCATCTCTGAGGATGACTTCCTTCAGTGCACTGAAAAGTAAATTCTTGAAGGTCTGCGCAGGAGTGCTGTTAGAGGCGTGTGGCGAATCACTCTACGATGAGACGGACGGGAGATACTAACCCGACACCTAGTCCTGACTTTTGAACTCCACTCTCTGCCTTCCACTGTGAAGGCAGGGTACCTAAACCATACCTGCCAACTCTTCAGAGTTTTTCGTAAAATGTATGAATTGGGACTGATTTTACAAATTTACGAATCTTGCTTCAAATTTTACAAAAAAAAAACTTGTGTAAAAATCTTTTTTTTTTTTACATTTCTTTTGTAGAACCATTGCTGGCGGTACTTTGCACCGTCACAAGAGGGCGATAATGACCGTCCACGGCAGCGCCGTGGTTTTTACTATTCGTCTATCCGGTGGCCACGGATCCGAAACCAATCCAAAGTCCAAAGCCTTTGTTCGTGTTTTCGGCGGCGTACGTTAGTTTGGCGTGTTAAGACGTGGTTGGGCCTCTGTTTTGGCCGGTTTCGAGGCGAGAAGTGCGGCGTCTGTGTGTGTTTGTTGCATGTGTAATCGTAGCATTCCCCTAGTCGGGGTGGCTTCGCGGCGCAGTGGCGAACTGTAAACCTCAAACGAGGTACCTTAAAGGGGCCCTGCAATGACTTTTTGACTGGTTTTTAATTTG